TGACTCTGAGCTGACTTTTATCCCACATATTAAAAATATGACAAAAACAGGGTTTTATCATTTAAAGAATATAGCCAGAGTCTGTCCCTTTCTCTCCCAGGCTAACACAGAGACGCTGATGCATGCTTTTCTCCAGTCGTCTTAAGTATTGTAGCGCCCTGCTTTCTGGTCTTCCAAATAGAAACATTGAAAGTTTACAACTGTTGCAAAACTCAGCAGCACGTGTGCTGACAAGGACCAGAAGGCGGGCACATATTACAACGGTTTTAAAATCACTGCATTGGCTCCCTGTGTGCTTTAGGGTTGATTTTTGAGGTCCTTTTAATGGTTTTTAAATGTCTTAGGGGTCTTGGACCTTCTTATCTTTTAGAATTGCTTTTACAATATGAACCCTCGCGGACCCTGAGATCCTCTGGCACTGGCCTTTTAATAGTCCCCAAAGTGAGAACACGAACTTACAGTGAGGCATCTTTTCAGCACTATGGCCCCCGTCTTTGGAATAGCCTGCCAGAGGACCTTAGGGCCGCAGAGAATGTTCATATTTTTAAAAGCAGGCTCAAGACCCACCTATTTAATTTGGCTTTAAACTAATGTCTTATTTTTAATCTATATTTTTATCCTATTTTTATCTTATTTTATTTCATTTATATATTTAAGTCCTCATTTAACATCTTATGTTTATTCTATTTATTCACTTATTTTGAAATGGTATTTTAGCTATTTATCAGTATTTTATAATTTTATCTAGTTTGATGAGTTTAGCTGATTTGGTTTATGTTTTTATTGCATTTCATTTCTGCACTGGAGGCTGTGACTGGTTCTGTTTAGGGTTTCTCTGCCTCATGGTGTGCACTCAGCTCGGCCAGGTGGTGGTCTGCAGCAGTGCTTGCTGCTGTGGGCCCCTTACTGGCCTGTAGTGGGGCGTGCACCCGGGTGGAGGTGTCCTGGCCCTGGGCCGTGAACGGCCTCCAGTTTCCTGACTAAGCTCCTCTGTACTCAGCCACATGCTTTTAAGATTGCATTATCTGTGTGTGTGTGTGTGTGTGTGTGTGTGTGTGTGTGTGTGTGTGTGTGTGTGTGTGTGTGTGTGTGTGTTGGGGTGGGTTCTCGGTGAGGGTTGGGGGGGTGGGGTGGCGGACTGAATATGGGGGGCCCATTGTTTTAAATTGTAAAGCATGTGCTGCATTTCTTTTTACCTGAAAAATAAATAAAGTTTTATTTGATTTGATTTGAATTAAAATGACGGCTAGAGGGGAACTCAATCAATCCACATTAAGAATAAGTATAAGAAGAACTCCATCAATCCCTGAAGGGAAATTCAATTGTCTGTTGTCTCACATAATATGTCTCTAAAAGTTATCTATTATTTACACAAGAGTTATAAAGCCTGATGGCTGTTAGTACAAAAGATCTTCTGAACCTTTCTGTCCTGCAGCGAAGAGAGAGGAGCCGTCCACCACCATTGGCCCTTTGGTCCATCAAGGTGTTGTGAAGTGGGTGACCAATGTTCTTTAGAATAGACTCCACCTTCCTCAGTGTAGATCTCCCCACGTCATCCTCCACTGAGTCAAGCTTGAGTCCTACCACAGAGCCAGCCTTTTTCACCAGTTTGTTAAGACATCTTGCATCTTTGTGATGGATGCTTCCTCCCCAGCAGACTGCAGTGTAGAACAGAACACTTGCCACCACTGACTGATAAAACATCTGCAGCATCTTACTACAGATGTCTATTGATTAGAGTCTTCTCAGGCAAAAGAGGCGGCTCTGCCCCTTTCTGTAGATGAGGTCTATATTCTTAGACCAATCCAACTTATTATCCAGATGTACACCTAGGTATTTATATGATGTCACCACTTCGATGTCCACTCCACAGGTGTTCACTGGCTGAAGAGGGGGTTTGGATCTACAGAAGTCTATGACCATCTCCTTTGTCTTTGAGGTATTGAGGAGGAGGCAGTTTTTGTGATTCCAGTCACTGAAGGCTCTTATCAGATCTCTGTATTCAGCTTCTTGTCCCTTTCTGATACATGCCACAATAGCGGTGTCATCTGAGTATTTCTGGATGTGGCAGGACTCAGTGCTGTATCTGAAGTCTGACGTATACAGTGTGAACAGTAATGGCGCCAGCACTGTCCCTTGTGGAGCCCTTGTACTGCTCATTAATGTCCCAGAAACACAGTTCCACAGCCTGACAAACTGTGGCCTTCCTGTCAGGTAATCTGCGATACAGGAAACACAGGAAGGATCCACTCCCATCTCTGTGAGCTTGTCTTTGAGTATGGTGGGTTGGATGGTGTTAAATGCACTTGAAAAGTCAAAGAACATGATCCTCACATAAATCCCATGTTCCTCCAGATGAGACAGGGCACGGTGAAGCATGTAGAGGACAGCATCATCCACTCCAATGTGTTCATTGTATGTAATCTGCAGGAAATCCAGTTTGTGTCTGACCTCAGACCTCAGAAGATGTAGAATCAGCCGCTCCAGGGTTTTCATGATGTGTCTAGTGAGGGCCACTGGTCTAGTCATTGAGTTCAGCACAATTGGTACCGGCACAATGCAGGATGTTTTCCACAGAGTAGGTACCCGCCCCAGCTGTAGACTCAGGTTGAAGATCTTGTGGAGAGGTTGACACAGTTCTGCAGCACAGTCTCTAAGCAGCCTTGGACACACACCATTTGGACCAGCTGCCTTCCCAGGACAAAGTCTTCCCAGCTCCATCCTCACCCCTGTTTCGGTGACAGACAAGGACTGGTGTTCTAGGAGGGAGGTAGATAAAGTGGTTGAGACATTTGAACGAGATGGTGGAGGAACGGGAGAAGTTCCCAGATCACCCACCACTGGCTGTCTTTTCTTTTTATTGCTGTGTCCAGAGATGGTACTGATTCCTCTCCACACTTCACGGATGTTGCTGCTTGTAGATTCTTCTCTATCTCCTTTTTGTACTCCAGTTTAGCCATCTTCAGTCTCCTCTTTAACTCTTGTTGCACTTGTTTGAGTTGTTCTTTGTCACCATCTTTAAAAGCTTTCTTTTTCTGGTTAAGGATTGCTTTTATGTCACTTGTGATCTAGGGTTTGTTGTTGGGGAAACAGCGAACAGTTTTTGTGGGTATAACTGTGTCTCTACAGAAGTTGACATATTAGGTGAAGTGGTCAACCTGTTTTTCAATGTTCATACTATCCAGTGTTCATACTATCTGTTTCCAGCAGCACATTCCAGTCTGTTGATTTAAAACAGTCCCTTAGAGCTTCACTGGCTTGAGGTGTCCATCTTCTGATTTTGAATTTGGTCACAGGCTGCTTCAGTACACAAGGTCTGTAACAGGTTTGCAGATAGACCAAGTTATGATCTGACTTGCCCAGTGGTGGTAAGGCAGTGGCTCTGTAGGCTTCTTTGACGTTGGCATACAGTAGATCCAAGGTTTTGTTTTCTCTGGTAGGACAGTTCACAAACTGTAAGAATCCAGTCAGGTGAGAGGAGAGGGTGACATGGTTGAAGTCTCCTGATATTATTATTAGGAGTGTCAAATTAGCACGATAATTGCGATTAATTCTCTATACTCTCCAGCCCTCGACAGTGGGTGATGAACCAGCTGAGAAGAAGAGGAGGAGCGCTCTCATGCTGGGGTCTGACTCTGACTCAGATGATGATGGAATTGAGTATGGAGAGCTTCAGCGCTACAGAGCAGCATTGATGACTGTCCCCTGCAGTGGTGGTATGCTCACTCAGGAGCCTATGAAAAGCTGTCAGCCCTAGCAAGCAAGTACCTGGCCTCCTGTATATCTGTACGTTGCGAGAGACTGATTAGCCTCACAGGCCACACAGTGCAAAAGAAAAGAGCAGCCTTGCTCCCAGAAAATGTGACCAAGCTGGTCTGTCTCAGTGACTGGCTTAGGAAGAAGAAAGAAGCATGAGGTCAGCATTGTTGCTATGTCCTCTGTAGCCTACTAGAAATGTTTGCTTGATGTTATTTCTGCACTTTATGTTATGTTTGATGTGCTAACTTACAGCGCTGTGATGTTTTTTTTTTTTTTATTATTTTAAGCAGAAGAAAAACAAGTGTAGTGTTCAATACTTGTATTGCTCAGAAAAGTGTTTTGATGTGTTAAGTTACAGCACTTTATATGGACCTGATGTTTTGTTTTCTTTTTATTTTCTAATTATTTGGAGATTGCAGAAGGGACAAAGCAATATCCAGTCAGTATGTTGACTGCCACACCAGAGAAAATAGAACCCTGGATCTGCTGTATGCAAACACCAGTGATGCATACAGCACCACAGCCCTTCCCACCCTCGGCAGATCAGATCACAACCTGGTCCTGTTAACACCTGAGTATATCCCCATTGTTAAGAGGCAGCCTGTTCACACCATGACGGTGAGGAGTTGGACGGAGGAGGCTGCTGAGGCACTGCAGGACTGCTTTGAGTCAATGGACTGGGATGTACTCTGTGAGCCACACGGGGAGGACATCAACAGCATGACAGACTGCATCACAGAATATATCAGGTTCTGTGAAAACTCTACCATCCCAAACGGGACTGTACGCTGCTTCCCCAACAACAAGCCATGGATCACCAGTGACTTGAAAGCCCTCCTTAATAAGAAGAAGAGGGCTTTCAAGTCCGTTGACAGAGTGGAGCTGAGGAGAGTGCAGCATGAACTCAGGGAGAAACTGAGAGGGTGTAAAGACGCCTACAGGAGGAAGCTGGAGGCCAAACTCCAGCAAAACAATGTGAGGGATGTGTGGACTAGGATGAAGCACATCACAGGATGTAAAGGGAGACAAAGGCAACCATCAGGCAGCCTGGAGAGAGCCAACGAGCTGAAACTTTCTTTAATAGGTTCAGCTCACAGCCGTCTGCCTCCCTCATACATCCAGCCCCCCACACTCCCTCACCACATCAACCCCTCCCCCCTCTCCCCCCTGTGGTGAACATTCCTGTGCAGCACCTCTCCTCCCCCTCCCCTGGAGACATCAGCACCCCCCCACACACGACCGTGACTACGAGCCAGGTTAGGAGACAGCTGGAGAGGCTCCACCAGAGGAAGGCAGCAGGACCTGATGGCATCAGCCCCAGGATCCTGAGGACCTGCGCCAGCCAGCTGTCTTCTGTCATCCAACACCTCTACAACCTGAGCCTGAGTCAAGAGAGAATCCCAGTGCTGTGGAAGACGTCCTGTCTCGTTCCTGTCCCAAAGAAGTCGACTCCATCTGACCTCAATGACTACCGACCAGTTGCCCTCACGTCCCATCTGATGAAGGTGCTGGAGAGGTTGGTCTTGGCCCACCTGAGGCCGCAGGTGAAGGAGCTCTTAGACCCTCTACAGTTTGCCTACTGGCCCCATTTGGGAGTTGACGATGCTGTCATCTCCCTGCTGCAACGAGCTCATTTGCATCTGGATGGTGGTGGCATCACTGTGAGAATCACCTTCTTTGAGTTCTCTAGTGCTTTCAACACCATCCAGCCACTGCTGCTGGGTGAGAAGCTGCGGGTGATGGGTGTCGACACCTCCATGGTCACCTGAATCACTGACTACCTGACGGACAGGTTTGTCCGTCTCGGCAGTGTTCTGTCTGACGCATCAGTGATGCAGGAGCTCCACAGGGGACTGTGCTGTCCCCTTTCCTTTTCACCTTGTACACCACTGACTTTCAGTACAACTCCGAGTCATGCCACCTGCAGAAATTTTCTGATGACTCGGCTGTTGTTGGGTGTATAAGGGGGGGAAGGGATGGGGAGTGGGCAGTGGTAGATAACTTTGTGGAGTGGGCTGGGCGCAATCACCTGAGGCTGAATGTCACCAAGACCAGAGAGATGGTCATCGACCTCAGGAAGAAGAGGACGGCTCCACAGCCGCTGTGCATCCTGGGAGAAGATGTGGAGGAGGTGGAGGTCTACAAGTACCTGGGCGTCCATATAAACAACAAACTAGACTGGAAATCCAACACCGACGCTGTCTACAAGAAGGGGATGAGCAGACTCTACTTCCTGAGGAAGCTGAGATCCTTCAACGTGTGCAGCAAGATGTTGGAGATGTTCTACCAGTCTGTGGTGGCCAGCGTACTTTTCTTTGCCGTGGTTTGTTGGGGGAGCAGCATCGGAGCCAGTGACACCAACAGACTCAACAAACTGATCAGGAAGGCTGGCTCCGTGATTGGCTGCAAACAGGACACTGTTGAGGCTGTGGTGGAGAGGAGGACACTGAACAAACTGTTATCCATCATGGACAACCCTGACCACCCTCTCCACCTCACTCTGGACAGACAGCGGAGCTCCTTCTCCAACAGACTGTTGCAGATCCGCTGTCGTATGGTCCTAAAAGTTCATTCAAATAAAAAGGTGCAAGCCCATTAAGTGCTTTAAAAACAAACATTAAGATCTTAAAATCACCTCTGAAATGTATCGGGAGCCAGTGTAGCGCTGCCAAGACCGGAGTTATATGGTCACATTTGCGTGTGCTGGTTGAAAGTCGGGCCTCTGCATTCTGGACCAGCTGTAGTCAGCTGAGTGAGGACTGACTGATACCAAGGTACAGTCCATTGCAGTAGTCCAGTCTTGTAGAGATAAAAGGATGTACAGCTCTCTCAAAGTCTAAAAATGTTAAAAACGGTTTAACTTTTGAGAGCATTCTTAAATAATAAAACCCAGCTTTAACTCCAGCATTGATTTGTGTATCTAGTTTAAAATCAGAGTTGACACTACAGGCATGACAAAGGGTTCAAAAGGACCCAGGTCCGTTGTGGAGTCACCTGACATGCCACTGGGTTTAAGAACAATGATTTCTGTTTTGCTTTCAAAACAATTTAAAAGCAATTTAAGAAAACTTCCATTGTTTCTTTTCAGGGGCAAGTAGATCTGTGAGGCATAGAAATGAAAAGAAATGTCGTATTTCCTTAAAATTTATCCAAGGGGAAGAACATACAATGAGAACAGGATAGGTCCAGGAATAGAGCCCTGGGGGACCCCACAAGAAAGAGGGGATGAGGACGAGTTAGCACTCCCAAAGGTCACTTGAAAACTCCTCTGATGCAGATAGGACCTAAACCATTCTAAGGCCATTCCTTTAATGCCAACACAGTGCTCAAGTCGGGAGATGAGTATATCGTGGTCAACTGTGTCAAACGCTGCTGTCAGATCTAAAAGCATGAGGAGAGCACAATCACCAGTGTCAGTTAAAATGAAAAGGTCATTAAAAACTCTTAAAAGTTCTGACTCAGTGCTATGGAAAGATTTTAAACCAGGCTGGAACACCTTGGGAATGTTTTATTTTATTAAAAACAACTGTAATTGTGAAAAGACCACCTTCCCTAAAATCTTTGAAATGAAGTTTAGAGATAGGGCGGTAGTTTGAGAGCACTGATGGGTCCAGATTTTTTCTTTAATTAGCTGCTGTACTACTGCCTGTTTAAAATACAAAGGGACAACACCACAAGTCAGGCTACTTTATGATCTCCTGTAAACTTGTTCCAATCATGCCAAACCTCTTTAAAAAGACGAGGTGCGATGATACCAGACAGACAAGTAGATGGTCTCAGTTTTGTGCGAACATCTGAGAGACAGGAAAGAGAAACTGGCTCAAATTGGTAAAAAAAAAAAAAAAAACTGGGGAGTAACTAATGGGTCAGATGATGGGGTTAAAATATTGGCTCGTATCATGTCAATTTTATTAACGAAAAAGTTTAAAAACTTTTCACAAGAGACTTTCCTCAGTAATGCATTACTTTTGTGGTTTAAGTAACCAAGTTACTAACTTACTTTTTTTTAATACAAAGTAAGTAATAACCGTAACTAGTAACTGCTTTTTAGTAACTAGCACAACACTGCTCATACACAAGTAAAAGTTGCTCAAAGTATTACTTAAGTTAAAGTACTGGTACCTGCTTTTAAAGAGACTTGTGTTTTTGAAGTACTTGAAAAAATCTAAAAACATTGTATTTTCTCAGTTCATGTTTTCCGTCCAGAATACATGAGTGTATATCCTGTCACAGTCTGTATTTAGAAAACATCATTTACACTTTTTAAAGTCACATGCTAAGATTTACAAAATAACTGGACAAGAAAATAGCAGTGAAGTCACTACAAGCACTGCCAGCTTGGTATTAACTATTATTCTGGAATCAAACAAATATTTCGCTACATGCCTTGACATGTTTTCTCAGATTGGATGGTGAATTTCTGTAGGCAAACATTTAAAGGGATAAGAATCAATCTTTACTTGAAAAACTTCAACCATGAAGATATGACCATGGATGCTTAAGGAGAGAATTATCATTCACCTCCGCCATCATCATAGCAAAAATGATTAGCTACCTCATTTAAGTGATTATTCCTCTGTATGTTTATTGATGGATCGCAATGCAATGTTAAGGTGCATCTCACTCTCTATTGTGCTGGACTGAAAAGGCCCAATGCACAAAATATATTGCTAAGTCCATGTCAGGTCTTTCATAGATCAATAAATATAATAAAACTTTATAGTCATAGAGTGACGGGCTTAACTGATTGAAAAAATTACCTAATTTATTTCTCATCATGGATTACAGCTCAGCCTTCAATACAATCAGGCCGCTGAAGCTGACCACTAAACTGGCTGACCTGGGAGTACCAAGACCCACCTGTAACTGGATCCTTGACTTCCTCACAGACAGACCTCAGGTGTTGAGGATGGGAAAGAAGGTCTCTGCAGAGCTCACAGTGAGCACAGGAACACCACAGGGCCACTGCCTCAGCCCTAGACTCTTCTTCCTTTACACATATGACTGTGCCTTCACCCATGAAAGCGAGAACATCTTCATTAAGTATGCAGATGACGCGACCATCCTTGGTCTCATCAGAGGAGGGGATGAGTCTGCATACAGGGCTCTGATCTATAGGATAACTGTCTATGGAGAGGACTACGGCCTTGTTCTTAACAGAGACAGAACAAAAGAACACCCCCCCAGACACTCACCATTAAGGGGACGGAGGTGGAGCGGACTGATAGCCACAAGTTCCAGGGGCTTCACCTCATAGAGAACCTCAGCTGGGCAAAAAACACTACTGCTTCAGTGAAAAGAAAAGAGCTCAGAAGAGACTGTATTTCATCAGACTGTTGAAGAAGGCAGAACTCAAATGTCAGCCCCTCACCCAGGCCTACAAAGGACTTGTTGAAAGCATCCTCACCAGTGGTTTCACAGTATGGTACAAGAACACCACCAGCTACAGCGGGTTGTCAAAACTGCAGAGAGAATCACTGGCCCTCATTTATCAATCTTGCGTAGAACTGAGTGCAGGATTCATCGTACGATAGGACACACGTGAGATTTATGAAAGGGTTCGTATCTGACCAATCCCAGCGCACATATGATCGGGTCTTCATAAATGCGGCGGCTGAAATCGATCGTCATTAACATGTCACGCCCTTAAATAGTCATGGTTCAGAAGCCTCGCCCACTAAGGTCAAACATGAAAGAGGAGAAATATAAGAAAATGAGATCCTCGCATCTGTGGTGAAAACTAACAAAGATTTTCTCTTTGGAAGCATCAAAACTGGTATAAAAGCTGGAGCAGGATTATGGAGGTGGTGAACAGCGCTGCAGCGGAATAGTGGACAGTGGCTGAAGTTTAAATAAATCATTAGTCAATAAGTTGCTCATGATGATAAATTAATATCTCATACATGCCTCGTATTTTTTTATTGCCATGACATAGGGTATGTTGCTCCTATTATTGAAAGTATTTATTTTTAACTTGTTGCGTCTTTGTTATATAGAGCAGACTGGAGAGTCTGACAGAGGCTGAACAAAAGTAATTATTAACCTCACCAAACGATGTGTTTGGTGTTAACCCTGAGTCACATTTTTATGGATTTCTATTGGATTTTTATCAGTGATTAAATAGCAAGAGCACTTTCTAAACTTATACTTTACATGTCAGAATCCATGGATAAGGTCCTGTCTCCTCTGTACAGCACCTTTGTGGAGTCTTTCCCTGTTATTGTTCTCTGGGCATCAGGTCCTCACGTTGCACTGGCACAGCCAGCGACACTCCATTCACAAGTGCAACATTGTGCAAAACTGTGTTGGCCCAGATGATGTCCCACACCCTTTCAGGAGTGTACAACAACATCCCTGCTGCTGGGCCAAGACAGAGACACCTGCCTTTTAGGAGTTAAACGCAGCGCTCCACAGTGGCGCGTGTGCATGTGTGCGCAGTGTTAAAACGGCGCTCCTGCTCTGTGGCAGTGTTTCTGGGCAGAGTCTTTGATGAAATCTGGCTGATTGTGCCTAATGAAAGGTTTGCTGCCCTGCAGAACCACACTGACTCAAACTTGCGTACACAATATCAGACCTGTCGTGAGATTTGGTCATGGCGTACACTCACGTGCAGATTGATAAATGCTGATCCTCACGTCAAAATTTTTGTACGCAAGGTGTACGCAAGTTTTCTGCCATACGCAAGCTTGATAAATGAGGGCCACCATCTCTGAGCTCCCCTCCATGAATACCATCTATACCCAGTGCAGCAGGAGAAAAGTGCAGAGCATTGTCAGGGACCAACACCACCCAGCCCATGCTCTATTCCAGTGGACAGACTCAGGCTACAACCTAAGACACCACAGACGTGTGAGCATCAGCACTCATAGGGCCCGCTGATACAACAGCTTTTGCCCTGCCACTGTCATGCTGGTGGCACATGACATTTAAGAGGGTAAAAACCTCAGCTACCTTACTAGGCCTGCAGCTTTCATCATGTGCATGCATTGCGCACACACATACCGACATACTGTACTAACACACACACACACAAACACACACACACACACACACACACACACACACATACTTTTGGAACGTACTTTTGATCTACATATACAGTAGGGCTGTCATGATATCATATTTACACTTAATGATTATCATGGGCAAAAAATGTCACAATAACGATATTAATCAATGACAATCAATCAAATTTGTCTTTGTATCCCAATGTTATTTTCAGTTTTTTATTTTGTATTCATTTCTTAAGTGAATTTGAGTCGTTTTGATGAGTTTTGTTTTTCTATGCACACTGAATGCATCACAATTCCACGAATGGCAGTCTTATGGTGATATGGTCGAGTCCTGTGATGGGCTAATCCGAGGAGAGGGACAGTTGTTGAAGAATATCCTGGTGAGTGTAAATGTATGCATTTAGCAGTCTGTTCGCAAACATATTAACAAATAGGGAGAATTTGTGTGCACTTTAAACTATAAAACCAGTCAGGATATGTTATGTCTTGTGTGGGAGTGATTGTTTTTTGCTGTAATGGAGTTGTTAACTGTGTTAGCAGGGAAGAAAACTTAGCTAGCACACTGTGTTTTTTTGATGGAGCACTGCACAGGAGTTGACGCACGTGGTGTGGATTTAATGTGAGCCTGCTACAAGGCTAATGTGCATGTCTCACGATTCATTTATTGATGTTTTTGTTTGTTTTTTTTATATAAGAAAATGTATTGGCCAGTAACAAGGGTAACTTGTGGCAAAACCTGTTTATTATTCTTGAAATCCAAGTGCATGTATTTCATATTAGGTGGATTATACATTTTATTTTGCACATTGAGTAACTGCTCTGCATGTTTTGTGCAGGCTGTTTTTTTTTTTTGTTGATAGAGTCACTGACAGAATGAGCTGTGTCGTCTGTGGACTGGATTTCGCCTGAAGGGTCTGCAAAGGACATTCTGGATCTGATGACCACCCGGTTGCAAGGAGGGTGGTAGGACAAACAAATGGATTTCCCATCCCCTTGGAGATTTACATTTTTTTTTTATGCCATCCAAGATCTCAGACCTTTTTTTTCATTTTTTTGTTTCATTTTATTTGACAGGCCTGACGCACACTGACAAACACATATACACACACACGCGCACATAAGAACCTGATGGTCAAAGGGACCATTGAATCCTAACAAGGGAAGTGAACTGAGTGTGACCAATGAATGGACAGTATTGAAATTAATGACAGGTTATTCAATTGATTGTATGTTTTTTTTCTCTTTGCTCCTTTTGTTCTGTTCATGCCTGTGTCTTGGGATACCTATGTTTTTTCTTGTTCTTTTGAAGAAGTCTCGTAGTAAGTATGGTCAATATCTTGCCAATACACGTTCTACTCTCTCACTGAATTAATTGTCAGAATCTTATTGTGGTTGGAGGTTTCTTTTCACTCAACAGAGTTACCATTGCCAATCTCCTTACGAATCCTAGTCATTGAGCCCTGCGTGTGTAGATTTAGAAAAGGGACGTGTTAACTTAGATTTTGATTTTCCTTTTTTTTCTGACTGCATAGAAGGCAAGGGTGACATCTTCAACTTTATGTTGTTGTCTCTTTTTTCACAGATGAATTATACTCAAAATATCTGTCTAAGGAGGTACTGAGACAATATGAAAACAGTAACTGTTCAACGACATACAAAAAGTGCAGTTACACTCAACAATTAAAAGGTAACCAGGCAAACTGATAAACAGATAATCGTCAATGTGCATCTGCTATAACTAGAATATGTGAACTGAAACAAAACTAGTTGTGGATAACAGGGGACAAAGCATTTGTGTGCAACTGAACAATTACAATGAATAACTCTGGAATAACCTAATGTCTACTGAAAAATTCCTTGCATTTTTTCTTTTTCGGTTTCCATTCTCTGCCTATGGCAGATTTTGATGAAGGAAAACAAGCATATTGTAGTGAAAGCTCTCTGAATGACCCACTGATGCATCCACTGATAACCCTGCAGTTGACCAGCTCCAGTCATTTCCGCCACAAAAGCAGTTTTATGACTTTATTTGCTTTATTTTCATAAATTCACGACTTTAATCTCAAAGTCTTTGTCACTTTGTTGTTTGTTGTATGTAGTAACTCCTGTGTCCTTGTATGCATGTGTTGTTTTGTGTCTGTGTCTTTTGTGCATGTATTGTATGTATGCAAGGTCCCACAATTGAAAAACAACTGCTGCCCTCTGCGGCTTTTCTTCAAGTCAGTCGTGACACGAGCCTGAGGGTGGGGACCTTTGGTGACTCAACCAGGAAGTCCTCCGAAGGATAGACCGCCCCAATTCACAAAAGTTGATCCACCTCACTCAGGGTACTCCAGTGCACAGGAGAGCAGTGCGATCAGCTGATCGCACTCAGCTGTATGCAGACCCTAAATTGAGACACAGCCTAGGTTTGGGTGTGTGTGTATATGGTGAGAGAGTGTGATGAAAGGAGGAGAGTTAGGGAAGAGTTGTACTGAGGTTCGTAAAAGTTCTGCAGTAAAGCGGCGGTTCAGTTCAGAGCATCTCCTCTTTAATCTGGATCTTATTTAATGCGTCTGACAAGGCGCTAAAATATTAAGTTTATCAGGTTTCAAGCTGGTTATTATTATATAAGTTAAGTTATAAGTTAATATTTTAATTCTTTGGCGTCACAAACTGTTGCAGTCCATTTTTTGGACTTTTCATGTTTAATGTTCACAAAAATATGACTTGTTATTGTCTGAGTCACTAATTAATGGATGCATATTTTGACAGACAATAAATAGCTGATATTTAGCGTCTGCTGACTACACTACAACTTTACAATAGAACTCCTTGATTTTAGTTGCTTGTTTACCTCTCGGTGATGATATATGCTAAATGATACAGTGGGCCTGATTGCAACAGAACATCTTAGAAACATAGTTAAATCTACCGATCATCATAGGTTTGCATTTTCCACATTGAAATAGAGTCACACCAGTGAAAGATTTGGGCTAATAAAAATGGGCTAATAAAATTTCTAATCTCAAGGTCTATTCAACATAAATGACACAAAAGGATATAAACTTTACTTTCGGAGTATTACTCACCACTGTTTAGCCCAAGGGTGGGCAATTAATTTTTACATGGGGCCACATAAGAAACCTGAACTGTGTTGGAGGCCGAGCCAACAATAACTTCAACCTTTCTCTGTTCAATATTCATTATCCTTGTTGTAAAAGCCAGTAATTTAAACCCACAGACATTATATATGTGAATGCCTCATTACTTGCTGGAGCGTAATCCAGCATTGCTGCCACATTTGATGGGTCTCTTCACTTCAGGCTCGCACAAGACCATATTTGTGGACTGTACAGTTGAAAAAACTGACGTAGTATTGATACCAGATCATGTAGGATTATATTTCACAAGTAAGATTGAAAAATAATTTTGGTTGGCTGAGTCCCAGGTAGCGCTGCATAAAAAAAAAAGAAACTCAATTTGAAAGTGTGACCACTATTATTTTTGTTGTGGCTGTGCGCTGCGATTACATATAAGGGAAACCCTGTACATTTCTTATAACATTATGCATTAGCAATGTTAAAATTATGATAATCACAGTTCACATAAAAACTGAATAACTTAAATTCTTTGAATAACTTAAATTTTCGAACTTTGATTAAGAGGGTTTGGGTTTGAAAAATGTATTTTTGTTCATATTTTCTCCACTTACTGCCACTCATTCTCACTTTGTCTCCTCGCTCGTTTCTCTGTCACTTCAGGACCTTGAGGTACATGAGGATGATGTGTGCGTGTGAGTGTGTTAGCGGGGGTATTCACACAGACAGAGAGAAAGCCCAAATAAGCAACTACTCATTAGTCGCGGGTGCCCAAAAAAGCGCACCCGCGACTCACGAGCTTTACAAACGACTTCTGAAAAAAACAAGCCTGAAGTCGTTTATAATAAGCAGACTTGGCAACTCTGAGACGTCTACGTATATTTTGCCGATGTTTAAACTAGTCTCTGTTCACAAATACAGATCTAGGATATACGCACATGTTTTTTGAAAGACTTAATAAAGTCATTAATTTATGAGAATAAAGTTGTAAGGTTACCTGTTATTTCAAAGGAGAGTTGTTAAAATTAGGGCCATGGAGCATTTGAAGGAACTGTGCTTCAGTATAGGTTTCACAAACAAGGAGATACTCTATCCTCTAGCACATCAGGATAACATTGTCATAAGTATAAGGACTTTAAAAAGAGTATATGAGGTCCATCTCATGTCGCGCTGATGTTGCTCATTATTATTCACGAGCGCGTCCTCGGTGAGCTGCACCCACTCTCTCGTTCTCGTACCCAGTCACAGTGAACGTCACTCTCCAGAGCGAGACCCAGCTACCACTGTATCCGCTATGGGTCTCTTCCAAACGACCGGTGTTTCCTTGGGTTTACTGCCGGGAAAATGAACTTAAAGCTGGGCAGAATGAATGAAAACACCGCTGGAGCTCTCCGGCTTCTTCTTCAACTTCCACCTCCTCTTGGGACTCGGGGTCTAAAATATATGGTTTAATACCTGCAATTTTTAGCCTTTAGCATAAGGTGACCAGACGTCTCCGATTTCTGAGGACAGTCCCCGTATTGGAAGACCTGTCCCTGGCCAAAGCTGTCCCCGAAAATGTCCCCGATGTAAGCGTTTCATGAATGAGAACAAAAATGTTGCATGTGGGCTCGAACAACGGTTATTACAGTAGCCGAATAGGTAGGAAGCACAAGTAAGCAGTCCTGAACAACAGTTCTTACGGGGGTTATTACAAGGGGAATGCGCTGCTACTAAATAGTACCGAGACTTTGTCTGTGATCACACAGCCCCTGTTGAATTTAGGGAATTCAACATCTACGGTCCATAATATCACCAAAAGGTTTACAGAATCTGGAAAAATCACTGCACGTAAGTGGCACAGCCGGAAACCAACATTGAATGCCTGTGACCTTTGATCCCTCAGGCAGTACTGTATCAAAAACCGACATCAATGTGTGGTACACAAATTTTATCAGCAAGTCCTTCTATGCTGGAAATTCAAGCATAATTCTACTCCCCACAACTCATCAATTTGGAATAACAGGTATATATTGTCTAAGAGAAAACCTCTTTGTTTTTGGCAACTGGATGGAAAAGGATATTTGGTTTGTTGTACATTTAATAGATTCAAAAGGAAATCTTCTTGATCACGATGACTTTATTAATAAATTTGTAATCAGATGCGCAAGAAAACAATATGCATAAATTACAAGAGCAATCCTTGATGCAATGATAAAAATGATCAAAGGCATGCAATCATATGACAAAATACTTCCCTGTTTATCCTTGCCTTTGAATAATAATTTAATTTTTACAGAAAGGAAATGTACAAATAGAACTATCCAAAAAATCTTGGGCCCGATTATTTCTCAGAAACACTTTTACCTTATGAACCTTCACAGATCATGCACTCTTCTGGCAGCCGGCTCCTAGTCATTCCCAAAGTCAGGAGACACACTTATGGTGAGGCGTCTTTTCAGTATTACAACCCTCATCTATGGAACAGACTGCTAGGATCTCAGAGCCACAGAGAACCTTCATGTTTTTAAAAGAAGGCTCAAGACTCACCTTTTTAGCTTCGCTTTTGATTAACATTTATTATCTCCTTTTATTCTAGTTAGGTTAGTTTCATATCTCATGTTTATTTTTATTTGACACTAAGATAGTCTGTTTTATTTTTCCTTTCTTTTTTTTTTTTGAGCTTGGACTAGCCAAGATGGCGCCGGTGTGTGTGGCCTGCCGTCTCTCGCTGTCAGCGTTGTTTGTGTTTGTGCTGTTTATGTCTATCATTATCAGTAATGTCAGCTCACTGTATGTGTATGACCACCAAACACTGCTTGATCTTTGCCCCTCTGCCAAGGATTTGGTGAAATTAGATCCTGATCACTGTGGTCATACGACGTTTAAGCCGTTTCACCTCTCCGGGATACCTGCTCACCTTCGCTGCACTTTCGCTCCATTTCCCCGGTGTAAACGCCGGCGCCGCCATGGCAAACGCAGCGGCCAGCTGGTGAAAGTTAAAGCTCTCTTGGCTCGATCTCCTGCGGTTTCCCTGAGGAGAAATGGAGTGGGATCTGGTCTCTTTCCTCATCTGCGATCGCTGCACCCTGTCGACTCCTGGCTGGTACCTGTCGTCGGTTCGGATGAGGTAATCCGTCCCCGCGGCCCCTGCTCTCCTCGTCCCCGCCGGCATGGGGTGAATCCCCGCCATCTACGGGCCCTTCGTGCAGTCTGTGTCCGGTTCTACATATAATCTCGGACACACACTGGACTTGGTGCTCTCGCATGGTCTGTGTGTTTCTAACCTTGTCATTTGTGACGCTGTTTTCTCGGATTATATGATGATTTTATTTGACATCCCCACTCAGTGTCCGGTTAAATTGCGCGCTCCACCTAAACCGCGTCGCATGTTTAACTCTTCCTCGCCTGCTCTGTTCTCATCTACCTTCGTTGGTCTCTGCAAGGATGACTCTGCAGCCCCTGTGTGAGTGGATACTGACGAACTGGTATTGAGATTTCACTCCACCTGTCTACAAGCACTGGACACGATCGCTCCTCTGAAGACCCGGCGCACCAAACCTACGCCCGAGCCCTGGTTGAACGACGTCACTCGTGCAGCCAGGCGTGAGTGCAGGAGGGCGGAGCGCAGGTGGAAAAAGGACAGACTGCATGTGTCTCTTGGCATCTTTAAAGATAGTCTGTGGAATTATCAGAAGATTGTGAAAGCTGAGAAGAGTAAATATTTCTCTGAATTAATTGCTTTTAACTGTAACAACCCCAGAGCTCTGTTCAAAACCATAAACACTGTCCTTGAGGCTCCCAAGTCTCTTGGGTTTGATGCCTCCACTGAAATTTGTGAAAAATTCCTCCACTTCTTCACTGATAAAATTATGTCAACCAGAGCCTGTATCTCTCAACCTTCATATGACCCTTCTGCCCCTCTGCACCCCTCATCTGTATCTGCCAAATTTGAGTCTGTGTCCCTCTCTGTTTTTAAGGACATAGTCAGCAATATGAAGCCTTCTGGTTCCCCTGCTGATGCCATCCCCCCTCGCTTGTTTAAAGAGGTACTTGCTACTATTGGACCAAGTGTCCTTAATATTGTTAACAGTAGCCTCTCCTCTGGTACAGTACCTAGGGATTTTAAACATGCTGTAGTACGACCTCTACTCAAAAAAACTGGCCTCGACCCATCCCTCTGTGCCAGTTTCAGGCCCATCTCAAATCTTCCATTTGTGTCCAAGATTCTAGAGAAGGTAGTCTACAATCAATTGTTACCATTTTTGAAAGATAATGGTATCACAGAGTTGTTCCAGTCTGGTTTTAAAGCTCTCCACAGCACAGAGTCTGCACTTTTAAAGGTGTCAAACGATATTCTCATGTCAACAGACTCTGGAAAGTTTGTTGTCCTTGTGCTCCTGGATCTGTCTGCTGCATTTGACACTGTCGACCACAGCATTTTAATCTCTCGCCTGGAGCACTGTGTGGGCATTAAGGGTGTCGCCCTGGACTGGTTCCGGTCTTATTTAACGGACAGAAGTTTCTGCGTTCAAATTGACAACTCTGCATCGTCAACAGCTCCTCTTCCACATGGGGTCCCTCAGAGCTCAATCCTCGGCCCTCTTTTATTTGCCTTTTATCTACTACCCCTTGGTTCTGTTTTTAGGAAACCTGACATATCCTTTCATTTTTATGCTGATGATTGTCAGATCTATCTTCCACTAGCACAGAACAACTCCAACTCAGTCCAACAACTTACTGACTGCCTTAAGGACATTAAAGCCTGGCTTTCTTTTAACTTCCTCAGTCTTAATGAGAACAAGACTGAAGTAATGTTGTTTGGACCAAGTGGCGGCCACCCCCCCAACATCGACCTAGGCTCCCTCTCACCCTACCTAAAAGAGGTCGTCACTAATCTGGGAGTTAAATTTGACCCTGATTTTAAATTTGAGAAGCAGATACAAAAAAGTTTTTATCAGCTACGTCAAATAGCGAAGGTGAAGCCCATTTTATCAAGACCTGACCTGGAAAAATTAATCCATGCTTTTATCACTACCCGTCTTGATTACTGCAACTCCTTGTACGTAGGGATTAGCCAGGCTTCCCTTGCCTGCCTGCAGCTTGTGCAGAACTCTGCTGCACGTCTCCTGACCCAGACCCGCAGGCGTGAGCACATCACCCCCATCCTGGCGTCCTTACACTGGCTCCATGTTCAGTACAGAATTCATTTTAAGCTTTTAATATTTGTTTTGAAGGGCCTGAACAACCTTGCTCCACCCTATATTTCGGAGATGCTCCAGCCTTATTGCCCACCCCGACCCCTAAGATCAGCTGATCAGCTTTTACTGACGGTCCCCAGTACAAGGCTGAAGCTCAGAGGGGACAGAGCGTTTGCTGCTGCTGCCCCTAAGCTCTGGAATGAGTTGCCCTTGAAAATCAGACAGGCCTCCTCATTTCCTGTTTTTAAATCCCTTTTAAAAATGCACTTTTACTCATTGGCTTTTAATACATTGTAGTGTTAATTTGTTTTTTATCATCTTAGCACTTGCCGTGAGCCTCCTTATTTATACACTTATTTATTCTTTTCCATCACTGTATTTCTGTTTGCGTTCTCTTGTTCTTTGATTGTTTTATTTGTTTTATTTGTGTCATTGTACAGCACTTTGGCTACCCTTGTGGTTCTTTTAAATGTGCTATAGAAATAAAGTTGATTGATTATTAATCTTTTGGTTTTTACTTATTCTTATCCTTTTATTTTTAGAACCCCCAGTGTTTCCTCTGAGAAAATCCTCAGCACTGGGAGCGGTGGTTGGTTGTGGTCGCAGGGTTCCTGGTAGAGGTGGAGGTTGGTGTCTGCCACATCTCTCCTCTGGCCCTGTGTTGGTGACCTGTGGCTGTGGGCGGCTCTCTTTACCTGGTGCTGATGGCCCCTCTGAGGGCGCTTTCTCAACTGGTTCATCGATACTCATCTTCATGTCCACTATCTTAGTATATATGTGTGGGTGCATTGGTGTGTGTTGCTTTGAATGAGACTGTGTGTGACTGTTGACTGTAGGTTATATTGTTGGGTGAGGTAAGGCAAATGTCGGGGAGGGGGAAGGCATCTGGGACTGATTTGGGTTTTTAAAATGACTGTAAAGCACTTTGTCTAACATCCTTTCGTATGAACGGATGTAAGACAAAGTGCTTTGTCTTTTTATAAAGTAGCGCTTTGTAAATTAAGTTTCATTTGATTTGATTCAATAGTGAAAGTAAGAGTATTTCCTCACGCACAATATAAAGGGAACTCAAGTGGTTGGGACTGAAAAGCTGTATAACCTTAAGACGACCACTAACCAGTAAGGCTAACAGGAAAAAAAAGGTTTGCAGGAGCATAAAGATTGGACTCTGGAGGAATTGGTAAAGGTCATGTGGTCTGAGCAGGGCTATGATTTAGGGTTGCTGCAGTTGGTCAGGTCTAAGTTCAGCAACATTATGTGCCCAAAGAATGAGATCAGCTGACTACCTGAAAATACTGAATGACCAGGTTATAATGTTAATGGATTTTTTCTTCCCTAATAGCACAGGCATATTCCAAGATGACAATGCCAGGATTCATCAGTTTCAAATTGAGAAAGATTTCTTCAGGGGGCATGAGACATCATTTTACACATGGATTGACCACCATAGAGTCTAGACCTTAACCCCATTGAGAATCTTTTGGATGTGCTGAGAAAGGCTTTGCACAGTAGTCAGACTCTCCCATCATCAATATAAGATCTTGGTGAAAAATTAATGCAACACTAGATGGAAATAAACCTTGTGACATTGGAGAAGCTTATCCAAACAATGGCACAGTGACTGCGTGCTGTCATCAAAGCAAAAGGCGGTCCAACGAAATATTACAGAGTGTGACCATTTTTGTGGTGGCAACTTCTTTTTTTGGCCAGTGCATTTCCATCATCTGTCCTCCAACAGACTTTACCTAGACTCAGACTTTAATTAAAAAACACTTTTCATACAAAGATAATGCAACTCAAAGTTCTGTACACAAAAAGAAAAGGGAAACAATATAAAGAGACCCCCTTTCACTCACACACGCACGCACACACACTTCCCAATCCATACACGAAGCTAAATAAGAGCTGTAAAAAAGTAATAATACTAATACTAAAAGTAATAAATATTCTAAAATAAATAAAAGAACTGAGCAAACTGAGGGAACACCACCACAAGGGCTCGATGAGGAAACACATTAGGAATATACCTACTTAAGAAAATTGCCCATTATGAAAAAAAACAAAAACAAAAAAAAACAGTCACAGTACTTGAAAAAGGAATTTATTGAATAATTGTGTGTAAAATATGCCAAAATACAAACACACCTTTCACAGTATTACAGCTGCACTCTAGTCCTGCAGTACTTGAGCGGCTGTGTGTATTTTACATGGAGCTGACACTCAAACCCAGGCACGGTGATGTGGGACATCAAGGCTCTGACTCGGCTCTCCATCTGCTTTTAAATTTTTAGGATCGTGTCTGACATCTGTTAATGAAATGCGACTGACCTTGTAGCTATATAAGAAGCCTCAGCCTCCCTATCTACAGTAGCGGCACTAACAAACCGGTTAAATGCTAACATACATTATTTGAAGCCATCACTTTATTCCATCCTCCAAACCCTTGATAGAAGAGGGCAGCGGAATGATAACATTGTCCTGTTTAAGGTGACACATAATGTTCCCATGTAGTTTTCATCCTCTATGGCTTTAATAATTATGATTGGCATACAGATACCGTGGAAAATGCTGCTCTGTGTCCATTTACAGAAAACACCAGAAAATATGCCCATAATTTATGCAAGGCATCATGGGGTGGATAAGGTGGATAGTTAGTTTAGGTTGTATAATTAGAGAAGGTTATATAGTTAGTTAAGTTAGGTTGTATAGTTAGAAAAGGCTGTTTGTTAGTGTAGTTGAGTTAGTAAGTTAGTTAGTTAGTTAGTTAGTTGAGGTAGAAGAATTAGTAAAAGGAGTATAGCAGTGGCGGTTGCTGGTCTTTCAAGGAGGGGAAGCTCATTTTTCTGGCCTACATCATAATTGTGTTTGTTTATTTTTATGTAACAGAACAGAGTCGCCAAACACAACGGCAGTCGTTTTTAACAAAGACAAAAGTCGCTGAGGATCGGTAAAGTCTCCGGAGCAGTTAAGAACAACGGAATTAATAACTTGGAAAATGATCTAGTAGATGTTTTATTCTTCAAGATCGCTGATTCGCTTGTTTAGCTGTCATTCAAAAAAAGGTTTCGCCTCAGACAGCTCATCCAATCATGGATGCAGAAGCTCAGCGTCCGCGAGAAAGTTGGGACCGCCCTCTCGTCATAGAACTCCAGAGACGCTGAGCGTCCGATGGGCGGGACAAAGCCCAACATTTATCCAATGGGCGTCTAGTTTCGCTGCTGGAACAACCCACTTTGAGCTTCCACATTGAAGTCAGCAGACGCTGAGCGTCAGGCTGTGTAAAGCGCTGAGGCGCTACGAGGATGAATGAGAACGAAGTTGTGCCGGTTACCTGTGATTATCAGCTTCTTATCACAGTGTGATTTTAGTTAACAAAATGTTCACACAGCAGTACGTATTTCACCACCTTTTTCTTTTTTTGGGGGGGGGTGACATTTTAAGGGAAGCTGAGCTTCCCTTGCAGTCTTAGAGCAATCGCCACTGGAGTATAGTAAGTATGGGCTGTATAGTTAGTATAGATCAGTGGTTCTCAAGTCCAGTCCTCGAGCGCCCCCCGTATGTGAAATATTGGCTGTAGAATAAGTTTAGTAATTTAAGGTAGTTTCGGTAATACTGGTTGTATAGTTAGTTGAGTTATCTTTGGTAATTTAGGTGAAATTGGTTGTGTAGTCGGTATAGTCATTTAAGTTCCTATGGGTAATATTGGCTGAATAGTTAGTATAGTAATCTTAGGTAGTTTAGGTATTCTGGTTGTCAAGTAAGTATAGATATTTAAGGTAGCTTAGGGATTATTGGTTGTATAGTTAGTTTAGTTATCTTAAGTAGTTCAGGTAATAATGGCTGTATAGCTAGTTCAGTTATCTTAGGTGGTTTAGGTAATATTGGTTGCAGAGTTAGTTCAGTTATCTTAGGTTGTTTTGGTGATACAGGTTATATAGTTTGTTATCTAAGGTTATGAACAGTCCGAGGTCCTCAAATAGGATTTTTCCTCCCTCGTGGATCACCTGCTGCACACTGGTAAGCGTGTGGTAATCTCCGGCCTGCTGCGATCACCTCGTCACAGGGACGTAATTAGCAGCTGTATTCGTCAGCTGCACCTGTGGCTGAAGGGGTACTGCCTCGGGAGAAGCATCCCATTTGTGGACAATTTCACAGCGTTTTTAAACAGACCATACCTCTTTAGTGGGGCGGTCTGCACCCGAACCGGGAGGGATCGTGGCTTTTATCAGTAAATATGGACCTTACCCTCCGCTCCTGTACCACAGCCACCTCCTGACAAACTGTCAACACTTGCACACACACACCCCACCCCTCACCCCCCTGCACTCCCTCACACACCTCAACAGCAACACCCCCACCACTCTTGATAGAAAAAGGACACTCACACTATCAAAACCATCATTTCATACAGACAACCGAAACCAAGGACTGTTTTTAGACCCCCCCAGTGATTTTGAAATCCCCCTTTTATCAAGAGCTGAGCGCATGTTTGGCACAGACATTAAAATAGCTGTGCTGAACGTGCACTCTCTTTTAAACAAGTCTTTTATAATAAATGATTTAATTTTAGAAAAACAGCTTGACTGTATCCTGCTTAATGAGACATGGCTTGGCACCGATGCACCTATTGTTTTCTCTGAGGTTGTGTAACACAATCCACACTGTCCCCTTCTGCAGTTCCTTTTAGCAGCTACTCGTCATTTGAATATCACGCCTTTGTTTTTAGCAGCCCTCCTATCCTCTGCATTAATGTGTACAGACCCCCCCCCTGCTACTCGACCTCTTTTATCAGTGAATTCTCCGAACTTTTATCAATCATCCACACCACCTACAACAGGATTTTAATAACTGGTGATTTTAATTTACACATTGACAACACCTCAGACCCAGTGTCTAGAGAATTTTTAAACCTTTTAAAGGGGACCTGCCACCAAAAATGTAATTTTTGCATTTTTGTGTGTCAGATTAAGTCCATATTATGTTCGTCTCATGTTGTTAATGTGAAAATAAACCGTTATGTCGTTTGCATTCTGTAAAGATTTAAAATAAAGAAATGGGTAAACCAGGACGATTGAAAAAGCAGGTCATTCTGACGTCAAGGTGACCTTGCTCATTATTATTCACAAGTGCGTCCTCGGTGAGCCGCGCCCACTCTCTCGTTCTCGTACCCAGTCACAGTCATCATCACTCTCCAGCCAGAGCGAGACCCAGCTACCACTGTATCTGCTATGGGCCTCTTCCAAACGACCGGTGTTTCCTTGGGTTCACTGCCAGGAAAATGAACTTAAAGCTGGGCAGAATGAATAAGAAAACACAGCTGGAGCACCGAAATTAGTTCTTTTGCTCTCCGGCTTCTTCTTCAACTTCCACCTCCTCTTTGGACTCGGACTTGGGGTCAAAAATATATGGTTTAATACCTGCCATTTTTAACCTTTAGCATAAGGTGACCAGACGTCCCCCATTTCCCCCTTCACTCAAACTGGCCGCTGTCACCCCCATCCTCAAAAAACCTGGACTCAACCCTGACGATATCAATAACTTCCGGCCCATTTCCAACCTCCCTTTCCTGTCGAAAATCCTCGAACGACTCATTGCATCACATATCAAAGCCCACCTCAACAATAACAATCTTTATGAACTGTTTCAATCAGGATTCCGCACCCACCACAGCACCGAAACTGCCCTCATCAAAGTCACAAACGACCTCCTCATTTCTGCTGACTCCGGCCAACTCTCCATCCTCATCCTCCTTGACCTCTCCGCCGCTTTTGACACCATTGACCACGCCATCCTCCTGTCCCGCCTACACTCCCTCCTCAATGTCACAGACACTGCTCTCAACTGGATCCATTCATATCTCACAGACCGGAATCACTTCATCCACATCAACAGCTGCTCCTCCACAACTGCCCCCATGTCCCAAGGTGTCCCCCAGGGTTCGGTGCTTGGTCCTCTCCTCTTCATCATCTACCTCCTCCCTCTCGGCCACATCCTCCGTCAACACAATCTCCATTTCCACTGCTATGCTGATGACATTCAATTGTACATCTCTTCCACCTCCATCACTCCCCAGACCCAACGCTCCCTCTCAAACTGCCTCACTGATGTCAAAAACTGGATAGACAGCAACCTTCTAAAGCTCAACTACAACAAAACAGATCTCATCATCATTGGCCCAAAATCCCTCACCTCCACAGTCACAGACTTTCATCTCTTCATTGACAACTCCATCCTCTCCCCCTCCCCCCACTGTCGCAACCTTGGTATTCTCTTTGACAGCAACCTCACCTTCACACAGCATGTAAACACAGCACTACCTCCACTCTCCTCAATAAACTTCAGCTCATCCAGAACTCTGCCGCCCGCCTCCTCACCCATACACGCTCCCACCAACACATCACCCCTGTCCTCCAGAACCTTCACTGGCTCCCCATGCCCCATCGCATTCAGTACAAAATCCTCCTTCTCACCCACAAAGCACTCCACAACCAGGCCCCCCCCCCACCTGCAAGATCTTCTCCACCCCTACATCCCCCCCGCACCCTCCGCTCCGCCGATGCCAACCTCCTCACAGTTCCCTCGACCAAGCACCGAACCTGGGGGGACAGAGCATTCTCAGTCAACGCCCCCACCCTATGGAACTCACTCCCACTGGACCTCAGAAACTGCACCAACCTTACCAGATTCAAAACCCAGCTCAAAACTCACCTTTTCCGCACTGCTTTTCATCTTCCTTAGCCCCCTCCCCCCCCCCCCCGATTGTTGATTTTACTTGATTTTAATTGATATTGATGTATTTTATTGTATATTGTTGTATGTTTTTATTCATGTACAGCGTCTTTGAGTCTGTGAAAAGCGCTTTACAAATAAAATGTATTATTATTATTATTATTTCCGGGGACAGTCCCCGAATTGGATGACCTGTCCCTGGCAAAAGCTGTCCCCTAAAATGTCCCCGATTTAAGCGTTACATGAGTGAGAACAAAAATGTTGTGTGTGGGCAAGAACAATGGTTATTACAGTAGCCGAAAGGGTAGGAAGTACAAGTAAGCAGTCCTGAACAACAGTTTTTACGGGGGATAAACCGAAATCCGAACCTCTACTGCTGAGCCAATCAGAGCACAGCAGGCTTCACAGCAGCGATCCAATCAGAGCAAAGCTCATTACCATAAATGTTAATGAGCCAAAATCAGTTAGTTTTCCTGTAAGGTTTTTTAGGCATACTAAAATGGTTTGAAACAAACCATCAAATAACTTTTCAGCTAAAATTATGTTACAAACATGATCAGAGGACATCAAGGATTATGAAAAAATGATTGAAATGGGTATGAAATTTTGATGGCAGGTCCCCTTTAATCTGCTTTGATTTTTAGCAGCATGTGACACAGCCGACCCACAGCAGGGGGCGAATGCTGGACCTGGTCATAAGCTATGGCCTGTCCATCGGTGTGCCCTCTGTTGTGGATCTGGCTGTGTCTGACCATTTTTGTGTGTTTTTTAAAATCAGCAATTTTAACCAGAGGGGGAGCCCAGTCAGAACGGTAAGGAAACGCTACATAACTTCTGAAGTGTCTGCAAATTTTATTCACATCCTACAGAACACTTCTTCACAAATTTGCCAGCACCTTGTGATTTTATCATTGACAATTTTAACAACAATCTAAGGTCAACACTGGACTCAGTTGCTCCACTTTTAACCAAAACAATCAAGAAAAAAACAAGACCCCCCATGGAGAATCGCGTATATCAAAGAGCTCATACAAAAACGCAGGAGAGCTGAAATAAGATGGAGAAAATCAAAATTAACAGTCCACCTTGAAATTTTTAAACAATACCTCAAAACCTTCAATAGCACAGTCAAACAGGCAAGAACTTCCCACTACAAACTAATCGCTGACAATAAACATAACCCCAGATTTCTTTTTACAATAATTGATCTTTTAACAAACAACAATTTTAACAGAACCCCTGGGTCATCCTCTGATACCCTCTGTGAGGATTTTGCAGACCACTTCAGAAGTAAAATCAACAACATCAGATCCAATGTTTTATCTCAACAGATTTTAACTGCTAATATACCTGGATCACTGCTTTTACCTGAGGAAACACTGGAGAGTTTTGCACTGGTTGATGCGCAGACACTTGGTCGAGTTTTCTTCCAAGTAAACCCCACAACCTGCCTTTTAGATCCAATTCCCACACGGTTTTTTAAACAGTTTTATGGATTCTTTGAGGAACAGCTTTTAAACATTGTAAATTGCTCTCTTCAGACAGGGGTCTTCCCCACCTGCTTTAAAACGGCGCTGGTGAGGCCTCTTCTGAAGAAGAGCAATCTGGACCCCAAGATTTTTAACAATTACCGACCTGTATCCAACTTACCATTTTTAAGTAAAATCTTGGAAAAACTTCAACAAGTAAATGATTTTTTAAATACAAAGAGCATTTTAGAGAAGTGCCAATCAGATTTTAGGAGGAACCACAGTACTGAGACAGCCCTTTCAAAAATTTTGAACAACATCAGGTGCAATTTAGATAATCGCAAACTCACAGTCTTGGTCCTGCTGGATCTAACCGCCGCCTTTGATACAGTAGACCATCACATTTTATTAAATAGACTTAAGCACCTTGTCGGCCTCTCAGGCACTGTTTTTAACTGGTTCACCTCTTATCTCACTGATCAGCACTTCTTAGTAAGTATGGATACATGTTCCTCACGAACCCATAAAATTATGTGTGGGGTTCCCCAGGGGTCAATTTTAGGTCCAACTCTTTTTAATCTTTACATGCTTCCCCTGGGGGACATCATCAGGAGGCACGGCATCAACTTCCACAGTTATGCTGATGATACACAATTGTACATGGCCGTGTCTCCTGATGATAGCGGGCCGATTGATGGCCTTTTAAACTGCATTTTAGACATCAAATCCTGGATGGCAGCCAACTTCCTGCAGCTCAACCAGGACAAAACAGAGGTTTTAGTTATTGGTCCTGAAGGCCTGAGAGAGACGCTTTTACCAAAACTACAAGATTTTAAAGTATCAACATTCATAAAAAACCTGGATGTAATTTTCGACTCTGGGCTCAGTTTTATTCCACACATCAAAAACATAGCAAAGGTAGGTTTTTACCACCTTAAGAATATAGCCAGAGTCCGCCCGTTTCTCTCCCAGGCCAGCACGGAGGTGCTGATGCATGCTTTTATCTCCTCTCGTTTAGATTATTGTAATTCCCTGCTCTCTGGCCTCCCAAAGAGGAACTTACATACACTTCAGCTATTACAAAGACCAGCTGCAAGAGTGCTGACAAGGGCCAGAGGGCGAAAGCATATAACGTCAGTTTTAGCATCACTGCATTGGCTCCCCATCTGTTTCAGGTTTGATTTCATGGTTCTTTTATTAGTTTTTAGATGTATTAATGGTCCTGGCCCCTCCTATTTATCTGACTTACTTTGATCATATCAACCCTCGCGGACCCTGAGGTCCTCCGGCACAGGCCTTTTAACCTTACCCAAAGTCAAAACAAAAACACACGGGGAGGCAGCTTTCAGTTTTTATGGTCCCCGGTTGTGGAACAGCCTGCCGGAGAGCCTCACGGCTGCAGAGACTGTTGATATTTTAAGAAGAGGCTCAAGACTCACTTTTTTAACCAGGCTTTTTACTAATTGCCATTTTAGATTTCTCTTATTGCAAATGTTAATTTTAATCAAAGTTCTTGATGTTTATTTTATGTCATTCCATCAATTATCTCTGTTCTTAGTCTTTCTCTTAATTCCCGTCACAGGTTTTTACTTTGTTTACCCCCTTTTTATATGGTAAAGAGCTTTTACCTTTTACTTACCTGTTCATTTAATATGATTTTCTTGTTTCAGTCCATCAGGTTTACTCTTTTCACCATTTTTATTTCTGTTTTTATCTCCAGTGTTTCCCAGAGGTAGCTCTTTCCTTGCATAATGTGTCGGTGTCAGGCCTTGTCTCTCCACCAATATATCTTAAATTCTCACACTGTGTGCGGTTGTGTGTGAGTGGGTGAGTGAGGGTGGGTGTGTGTCTTTGTGTGCGTGTGGGTTCAGGTGTGTGAGTGTGTGGATGGGAGGGTTGGGTTTTAGTGAGTGGGACTCATAAGCAATTATGTTATTCATATCTTTATTGAGTGGGATTGCGAAGCATTCCCACTATATGTTATTCATATCTTTATTATTGAGTGGGATTGCGAAGCATTCCCACTATATGTTATTCATATCTTTATTATTATTATTATTATTCCGCCGTTTTTTGGCAGTCAACTACTTCCACATACTTCAACATATTCAAACCATTCAAACTTCAAAATATTCATCTCATTGAGGAGATTCCGGCTTGTATTCAAAATTTCCTTACATTCATACTTTCCGAGATATTCCAGGTTTTCCGACCGATTTCTCCCATTAGAAATGCATTACGGAATGTTCAAATTGGCCCTTTTCTCACATTTTCTTCAAACAACTTCAAAAGCCTTCAACTCCTCTATACTTCCACGTAGAAACTTCATTCAAAAACCAAAATATTCACCAATTAGTCAGCATTATTCCACACCTTCAACATTTTTAATCCCATTTGTACTTTTCAAAACATTAAGATTTGTTTAAAACTTCATTATAATGGCAGTCAATGGGAAAAGGGCTTCAGACGTAGTCAACTTCAACCTCTTCTCATTCATTCATACTTTCACCTAGAAACTTAATTCAAACTTTAAAATATTCACACATCTTCGGACATTCACTCATTCATTCACCATCTTCATGGCATTTATACTTTTCTCACAGTGACAGTTAAAAAAGTCCAAAGATTTTCTGACCTGTTCAGGTTTTAACATTAGTGTGTATTGCACGGAATGTTGGCAGCTAGAGTGGGATGACATCCTCGCTAGAGTGAGACAGGCTAAAAATTGATCCTCAAAACTTTGTCTTTACAAAAGGATTGTGGCAACTCACTTCGCTCTACACAGATAAAATTTGGTACAGTGATGGCAAAACTCGCTGTCACTCTTCATCTAAAAAATCAAAGCCGTAGGACACACACAGTGGCTAGGGCAGACACCAACTGCCACAGACATCCCCAACATTTCTCCAGCTTTCTCCATTGACTCCAATATAAACCTGAGTGGAGGATTTTTATAGGAAACACAAACTGGGCATGTTTTTAACTTGTCCTAGTGAAGGCATTTTTGGCTCCATAGACACAAAAATTATATCAATGTGTTCAGCCGGGTCTTGTGGTTCTCACAAGCTCCTTATCATGAAGATACCAGTTACAGAGGATGAGCAATAGGGCATTGTTTGGGCATTGCTCTCTCAGCTTCAAACCTCCTTTCTCCTGCTGTAGTAATGCATCTACCTTCACCATGGCAACCAATAGAGCACCTGGAGACACACATCTGACTGGAAAGCTGCTTCTAACGGTTGTATGAGACACATGAAGCCAGGCTCAGTACACAGAGTACTGGGGGTTACATTTAAAACCCTTCACTAGAGTTATTTGACAAACTTAATCATCTATCTCTTCCTACAAACTTTGAGCTACAAAAACCATGCTGGGCTCAAAAAATTCAGCTCATTGAGGACATTATGGGGTATAATCAGGATTTTTATTCATTTACATTTTCCCCATTTTTCAATCATTCATTGATAGTGCATTATAAAATTCTTTAAACTAATTTAAACTCATTGAAATCGATTCAAACCTTTCTGAATCTTCAAACCTCTTTTACTTCCAGATTTTTAATCATTTTAATTTTCCAGTTTTAAATCATTTTCACTCTTTATGCATTATTCAGTTCTTGAAAAAAAAAATTAAACTCATTCAACAGGCATGAAAATGGGTCAGGGGTTGAAAAGGTGAGAAGAGTGCGGAGGAACTACGTTCCGGTATACTGTACAACCCAACAAAATATTGAGCTCTGTCCACCCACACTGTGTTTCAGTGATCTGCAGGAGGCGCCAAAAACACTCTAAGTCTCTCTCTCTCACACACACACAAACACACACACGCATCTTGTGCTGGCCATGTTTTATTTAGAAACAAAGTTTACTTTCACAGAAGCTAAATGAGTTAGATGAGTCAGAGAGAGGTGTTTAAAACTAATTGTACAAGGCCATATGAACAATAATAATTTAAAGAGAAAAAAAAAACAGAATTAAAAATAATAAAGACTTAATATCCTACACTTTAGATCAATGTATGCCCTGCCAGACTGGAGAACAATACATGCAATTCCAATAGATCCAATACCAAGTCCTATTGATCACTTTTTCTTTTTTCTTTTTGCCTGGGCCGCCAGAGTCTCCATGGCCTTTTACGCTGAGTGGCCACATGCCTCAGCCTTGCCTGCTTCTCACTTTCAACAGCCTGCTTCTTTGCCTGCTGAGCACCCCCAGTTTCTTGACAGCCATATGAAAAATAATAGCAACATAGCGATTTACACAACAGCTTTAGTAGCTTGTGGTCCAAACACACGGCAAGCCTTTTGTGACACACTCTTCCTTGTTGTCTTCTCTCACGCTAATGTCGCGCTGAAAAAAATGGACCCCCCCGTCTTGTCAACGGATGGAGCCAGAGCAGTAAACGCGAGACGCCCACTTTCACTGTTTTAGATGGCTCAAAACCATTACGTTTTAATGAATCAATGAATAACATCAGCGGCGAAAAGGAATGTTAAAAAGACCAGGGTTCACATGTTTTTATTTTTTCACAAAAGGCATCAAGCATGGGCCAAAGCATAGGACAACAAGTTCTAGAGTTTACCACTTCACCTTCAGCCTTTTCAGTCCCTCACCTGAATATTATCCTCACACGTCCCTGAAATACCAATTACAGAGATATTAGAAAGAAGCTTGTGTTTCTTCTTTTATGTTACCGTTAACTACACAAGCTTGGCGCTAACTTAATATCAAGCAAACGGGAGCTATTTTTTCACCGGAGATTTGGCTAGCTCTGGCAGTGTTCAACTTAAGCTGTAACGAACGGCAGTAACTTTGTTATACCACAAAATATGAAAACGATTGAACCAATTACTCACCAAATTCAATCTGCTGGTAAATGCAGGTAAATGTGTACACTACACTCTGGTCTGCCTTGTCCCCGGTGTTGTGCCGTAGAATGCACCCCTGCATCCCATCCACTCATTAGCTTCTTAAAGTGGAAGAAAATAAGCTCATATTTTATAAAGACACGAGTATTTGGATCATGACTACTAGCAAACTTTCGTTCTGTTTTAATGTGTCTCAAAAATGCACATATCGAGGTGCACTTGGGTATATAAACTGTACAGTAAGACGTCAAGGTAGAAAACAATATACTTTCGGGACAGCAAATATTCTGAATCAGAGGGCTATTGTTTTTGGCTAATCTGAATAACCTGAATGAAATCATTAAAGGCACACACTTTTGAATCCGTCCAACGGTAGGGAAAACTTGGATTATTTGGCCTTGTTATTTACTTTCAAGCCCGTCAGGGGGGCATTCTACGGCAGGGGTGCATTCTACGACACAACACCGGCGTGAATAAGTCTCGCAGCTTTGCAATGCTACCACGGGCTCTCCAAGCACTCCAAGTACCCGTGAAGAGTGTGCGCATGATTGGAATAATGGAACGCAGTTTGGCCTATGATTGGTTCTCGTCAGCGAAGCAGCCAGGAGGATTTCCTGACTTTCCAAGTGTCATTTTAAAGGGCCGATTTCTTAAGTGCTCAGTTTGCGTATTGATTCAAATCTTCCTGACACTTCAAACCTTTTTATTTTTAACATATTTTTAAACTTCAGCCATTCGCAATAGCAGCTTAGCGATAGCAATTTCAACCAGAGCAATCCCACTCGTAATTTCTTCAGAAATTTCATTTTCTAGTTGTCATTATAGTTGTTTTTAGCCTCTGTGAGGCACTTTAAATTGCATTTGTTTGTATAAAAAGTGCCATATAAATAAAGTTGAAGTTGAAATTGAATTTGATTAGGTTATACTGGTTGTATAGTTTGTTATACCAGGTAGTTTAGGTAATAATAGTTGTATAGTTAGATCAATTATCTGAGGTAGTATAGGTTATATAGGTAGTACTTGTAGTATAATTAGAGGTACCTTGTGGAGACATGAGCAGGTTGACACTCTCCAACACGTCCAGAAACAGCTCGTTGTGTCTGTATTTCAACCCCTCCCTCCTCCAGCTGATCTGACCCATCACCTTATTGGTGAGCTGGGAATGCTCCTCTTTGGTCTGAGGGGGGAGCATTAGTGTATTCACTTCAGTCAGTCTAGCTGGAGAGTGTCACTCTTTTTGTGTGTTTGTGTGTGTGTGTGCAGACTCACATGATGCTGCAGGATGAGGCAGGTGAGCATGAAGGAAAACAGTACATAGGTTAACAAATACACTGATTGCAGGAGGCGCTGTGGAGGTGTCAGCACTGTATTTTCTTTAGGTTTTGATTTTCTCTTCATCTCACAAAAATCAAAACCTAAAAAAACCACAGAGTGGCCCTTCAGGAGGAGAGACAACCAGCTGACCTGCCTGAGCTCGCAGTCTCGACCAAAACAGGGACCAGGAGCTCAGACTGCTCCTCCTCTGAGTCTGCAGACACATCTTTTTTTATACTGAAAGGTACTTCCTGTATTTAGTGGAGTTTACCATCCAGCAGCTTGTAGATGAGGACAAAGTTGTTCTTGACGTTCTCCTTGCTGATCTTTACGAAGTAGGCGGTCATGGCATTGCACATCTTGTAGAGGAACTCAAACACCATGGTGGCGTTGACATTCTGCTTGGTGACAATGGCAAGCCAGCTGTTGGAGCGTTTGACGTGAAAGAAACTGGTGTGGGCAATGTTGGTGACCGGGGAGCGTACCTGCCGCAGAATATGGATCCCATTAACCCTGAACACATTCACCGTATGACTGCTGCAGAGAGACAATGGTCATATCTATCAATCAATCAATCAATCAATCAACCACCAAACTTTATTTAAACAGCACTTTCAATGTATGGACATACAAACACAAAGTGCTTCACACACATAGAAAAATAAAAACGTTGACAAACAATTACAAATAAACACACACACACACACACACACACACACACAGACACACACTGACACTACTGACAATAGGGAGACATGGCATGACAATGAGGATTGAGGAAGTGCCATTTTGGGGCCATCCACACTGGGAGGAGTCACAGGCTGGGCACCAGCGCCCAGGCCCCCTAATGCCAACAGACAACAGCCAGCCGGGCCGAAGGGACCATTAAAAAAAATCTCCATAAAACTTGCAGCCACTTCAAAAGTAAGATAGCGCCTCCTCACTGTTCTCACTGAGGCCTCCTCTTAGTCAAAACTGGTCATGCTCAAAAATACACAGTATGTGGGGAATCCATGTCTCCATGCTGTAAGTGAGTGAGTAAAAGGACCAGCACACCTGACACACCGCTGACATCTGCATACAGTCACAGGTTAACACGAACAGAGACTGCAGTGATTCTGTCTCTGTGCCGTGTATTTTTAAGGCATCTCTATGACCATTTTGTCTGTTTCTCACTGTGTTTATGACCCTTTATTTGCAAAATATCCCAAATCCATTGATCAGTGATGAGAACAATGAGGAGTATAAAGTCCGTTAGTCCGCTGAAACAGCCGCGATCCGCGGTTTGATTTCATTCACGCTGACTGCGATCAGTACGAGTGGTGACAGCAGATGCCTTTCCACAGTAAAGGACGAAGTATTTGTAATATATCTTCGTTAACACAAAGTGTTTCGTTTCTACTTATTTGAAGCGTGGATTATAGTTGTGGAGACGTCAACACAAACATTGAATACAACCAACAAGTGACGTGTACAGGCTGTGTTTATTACATTGAATATCAATTGAACGAATGATACACAGATTCACTACCCCCTATCGGCCAGAAGGGGCCAGAACGAGTGGGGTCCGTGACATCACTTTCCTGCGACACTTGAGATTGCGAACTCAGATTGAATTATGAGACACTTTTTGTGGGGCGAGCACGAAAAATGAAAAAGCCTTTCTGAGTTTCGTTTTGCTTTTTAATTTAGTCACAAAATGAGCAGTCTTGAAGGAGAAAATGAAAATGCATTTTGGAATATTGCTTTTGATTTTTGAGTCAAATATTGCAGCCATGACTTCGAAATGAAAAAGCATTTCTGCTAATGCTTTTGAATTTTCAAATTTGACATTTCAAATTGAATTTTGTTACCTTTTTGCTGGTGAATGTTTTGAAAATTAAATGTTAAATGTGATTTGCTTTTGCTTTTTAATTTAGTCACAAAATGAGCAGTCTTGAAGAAGAAAATGAAATTGCATTTTGGAATATTGCTTTTGATTTTTATATTTGAGTCAAATATTGCAGCCATGACTTTGAAATGAAAAAGCATTTCTGCTAATGCTTTTGAATTTGAGATATGAGTCACAATCGCTTCCATACAGCCAACGCTGCAAGCAGCAGACGAGAGCCCTATTGATGCGCTGTGAATTATTTATTAAGTGGAAATGCTGATTAAGCATTTCCACTTATCGCTATCCTGTTCTTTATTATTATTATTTTTCTTCCGTCATTTTTTGGCCCTTTTCAGCTCCTTCCCAGTTTGTGCTATTTCGATTGTTCAAACTTTCAACTATTTCACTCCTTTAGGACATGTGCGGATGTACTTTTCACTTTTCTACCCTTTATACTTTTTTTTTTTTTACTTTTTGTGCCAAAATTGTAACATTGAAGTCAATGGGGAAATCTTCCGATTCTTCCTTTTATTCTTCCACCTTCTGAGCCTTATAACTTCGGAATACTTTCACCTAGAGACCTCATTTTTGCTTTAAAATGTTCATTCACTTGTCGATTATTTATGTCGTATTCACTTTTTTGATATCTTAAACAGTTTTTCCACAATTTAGTTTTAAGCACCTCATGGTTTTCAGCAAATTTCAGGCTTTATAATGGGTGTGTATTGGAGAGGCTAGAGTGTATGATGTCATAGCTAGAGTGGACAGCTACTCTTTTATCGACAAAACCTCGCTCAATATATCGCTCCCACGCCCACAAATTTCACTCCACAGCCATAAAAAATACATAAAAATGGAGGAAAATAAGTCCTGCTACTCACAAAAAGAGGTTTTAAATCATTAAATCGTACCCCTTGGCCAGCAGGTGACCAACTGTCCAAAAATGTCAAAGAACCCTCGCATTGGCCCTAATGTAATTTTTCTCCAAGAAAATCCTGATCTTCACTCAGGCTCAGACCTTTTTAACTCCCTAGAGTACAGACATGAAAAACACATCATTGTGTTCATGAAGGGCGGAGGATTCATACAATGTTCTTATTTTCATTCTGGGATTTAAGGAAATCACGCTATGTGAAGAAGTTCAGAGGCCCTAAATTCACTGCAGTTAGGCAGCTTCTCATTCAAACAGTAGGTCAGTTAATGCCTTTGATGTCTGAAACCTGTTAAGAAGGCTTTAATTAACAGGCACACACACACACATACACACACACACACAGTCTGACAATGTGTGTGCGTTAGTCTCTCTCTGTCTATGAGACCTACAGGTACACACAGTAATTATGTGTCTGCTTCACCACCTATCTCCACCCACAAACTTTGAGCTACAGAAACCATTCTGGGCTTGAAAAATCAAGCTTATCGAGGACACTTTGTGAAAAGGAGGATGTTGATTCAGCTTATAATGTATTCCTTAAATGTTTTTTGAATTTATATCATAAAAACTGTCCAATCCAGCAACCAAAGAAAACATCAAAATGTCCAGATAACCCCTGGTTTACAGGGGGTCTGTTGAATGCCTGCAAAAAAAAGAATAATTTATATTAAGACTTTATTAAGCACAGAAGTGAGGAGAAAGGAATTAAATATAAGATATATAAAAAGAAACTAACGGATATTTTAAGAAAATGTAAGAAAGATTATTATAGTAAATTGTTGGAAATCAATAAAAATAACATAAAGGGCACTTAGAATATTTTTAAATTCAATTATTCAATTATTAGAAGGAAAAAAAACAAGTGCTGGATTCCCTAATGAATTTTTTGACAATGGTAAGATAATTAAAAACAGTGACAAGTGGTGGCAGGCTTCAACAGATTCTTTGTAAATATCGGGCCCACGCTGGCCGATGAGATAATCCCTCCACAAGGGGGAGGTGTCTCACAATCTTTTGACAAAAGAAACCCAGCTACTATTTTTCTGAGAGATAAAGATAAAACTGAAATAGTTGACATTGTTAATAATTAAAAGTAATTGTAAAAAAAGTAATTGTAGCTATAGCAGATCCCATAGCACATATCTGTAACCTCTCACTGAAACCGGGCTCCTTTCCCATTAAGATGAAAATAGCCAAAGTCGTTCCCATCTTTAAAGCTGGTGAGCAGAATCTTTATACTAACTACAAGCCAATTTCATTGCTTCCCCAATTTTCTAAAATTTTGGACAAGATATTTGCCATCAGATTGGACAGTTTTGTTGATAAGTATGTTGATAAGTATGAGATCTTAACTGATAGTCAATATGGTTTTAGACTAAATCGATCTACATCTTTGGCTCTAATTGACCTTGTGGAGGAACTAACTATCTGCATTGATGACAAGAAGTTCGCCATAGGTGTATTTATTGACCTTAAAAAAAGCCTTTGACACAATTAATCATCAGATTTTATTTCAAAAACTGGAAAGGTATGGGATTTGGGGAATAGGGCTCAGTTGGATAAAAAGCTATGTAGAACATAGACAACACTTTGTGCAGATAGGATAGGAAAAGTCAATGCTCCTAAATATAACCTGCGGTGTACCAAAAGGATCAATATTGGGACCAAAATTATTTATATTATATATAAATTATAATATCAAAACTTCTAATATTTTGAAATTTGTAATTTTTGCAGATGGCACAAATATCTTTTGTAAAGGACAGAACCTCCAACAGCTGTTAAAGACTGTCTCTGATGAACTAGCTAAGCTAAAACTGTGGTTTGATTTAAATAATCTCTCAATATAAAGAAAACTGAATTCATGATTTTTGGGAAACGAGCCGGCAAAATTCCAGAAGACTCAACCATTGAAGTACTGTGTGATAACACTAGATTAGAAAGAGTTTATGAAAATTCATTCCTGGGAGTAATAATTGACCACAATCTCAGCAGGAAACCACAAGTCAAACACATTTGCTCTAAATTGGCAAAGACTAATGGTATACTTTGTAAAGTTAGACACATACTGAATCAGAAAACAATGTACATTCTATACTGTTCACTTTTTTCCCCTTATTTGTCCTATTGTGAAGAGGTGTGGGGTAATACCTACAAATCCAACCTAAAGACAATATGCACCATGCAGAAAAAGGCAATGAGAATAGTTAGCAATGTTGGCTATAAGGCACACACAAAAGAATTTATTTTTAAAATTACAAACATTAAAATTTATGGATATAGTGGATTTTAAGACTACACAAATTATTTATACAGCTAAAAACAAATTACTGCCTAATAATATACAAAAATGGTTCAAAGAAAGAGAAAGTGGTTATAGTTTAAGACGGAGAGGGAATCTCTTACAATCCAAGGTGCGCACTACACTTAAAAGCATGTGCATATCTGTCAATGGGGTGAGGCTGTGGAATAATTTGCCAAAGAAAGTAAAAACATTGCTCAATTCAAAAGGCAGTTTAGAATTCTCACATTAGAAAACTAGAAAAGCACTCAGAAAGCGCAGACCTCCGCCAGGCAGCTCATGTCCCCCCTTATATTGTGATTCACACCAAAACTTTTACTGTTACGTGTCTTTTATTAACGTTTATTCGTGTTTAAACTGGTATGTTCACTGTTCATAATGTTCCTAAATCCTGACCAGGATTCGAACCTAGGATGTTCTGGTTGTGAGGCAACAGTGCTAACCACTTCTCCACTGTGCCGCCTATCTACACCACTGTGCCGCCCATTGGTTATCTTTCAGCATTAAAAATTCCAACAACACCCTTATTTTTGTGTGTTCTGGATCACAGTATCCAGAATTTTGTCTGGATCACCACCAAAATTTAATGGCCAGGCCATTTCAGGCCATCCGTCTGTTACTTTCTCCGTAAAGTTGCTAACTGACAAACAAACTTACAACGAACAAACAAACCAATGCTACTGAAAACATACCCTATAACAAACATAACTATAACAACTGAGGTGAAGGCGGGACAAATGTCTCATTTCCACTTTAAGAGAGTGTACTGAATCGTTTAGCCATAAAGTCTCCTTTTTTTTTTTTTTTTTTACATACTTTCATGTGTTATATTTCCAGTATATGGTGTTTTTTATTTCCAGAACTAACTACTTCTGATGAATTAAGACTTTCTCATTTGGAGAAATGGTGATACTTTGATAAAATAAACAGTAGCCGTGTTAAAAAAATTAAGATGTACAAAAGGGGGAGGTAAACATAAGTTAGCTTCTTCCGTCTCCTTTTTTGAGCATGTAGAAACCTTTAATTTAATTGATTTTCTGTGAGAAATATGTGAAAAATGCTTCCTTGTTAATTCTCATGTTCAAAAATAAATTTCATTTTATTCATTCATTCATTTCACTTTGGGGTGTTGTAAGGATTGTGATAATAAATTGTATTAATGTGTTCAGCAGAGTCTTGTGGTTCTCACAAGCTCCTTATCATGTATATATACAGAGGATGACCATCAGGGCAGAGTTGGAGAGCTATTTCCTTAGCTTTAAGCCTCCTCTCTCCTGCTGCAGTGACACATCTTCCTTCGCCATGGCAACCAATTAGTGCACCTGGAGACACACAGCTGACTGGAAAGCTGCTTCTAATGGCCATATGAGACACATGAAGCCAGGCTTAGTACACAGAGCACTGAGTGTTACATTTACAACCCTTTACCAGAGCACCTGACAAAGTTCGGCCCCTATCTCCTCCCACAAAATTTGAGCTACAGAAACCATTCAGGGCTCCAAAAATGTATTAATACATTATTTAATTCTTCAGACAAATTTAAACTCATTCAAACTGATTCAAACCATTCTATTATTTCAAACTTGTCTAATACTTGAGGATTTTTAATTATTTCAATTTTTCCCATTTTAAAATCATTCTCATTATTTATGCATTATTTAATTCTTCAAACAGATTCCCAGATTTACTTCTACAATTACTACTAATATCATTTCAACTTGTATCTTCACTTCTGCCTCCGCTACTCTTGCTTCTAAATATTTTTTATTGCGTTTCTTACTTTCACTGCCACTATTACTTCTACCACGAGCTCTACTGCTTTGAATTCTACTTCTTCTATTCTAAAACTACTTCTACTGCTTACATGACTACTAATATCGCTACTACAACAACCTATTATCATACTACTTCTGGTACTAAAACTTAAACTTATGCCACTTCTCACTTTTCTGTCTTTTAAGGTCATTTTCTACCTTATCCAATTTTTTTTTGCAATTTCATACAGTTTTTCTCGCCTCTTTCAGCATGAATGCAATTTTAATTTATGAAGCACATTCATACTGTTTGGACTTAAACAGTTTTCACTTTCATCCAACTTCCACTTCTTTTTCACTCCTTTTACTAATTTAACATTTAAACCTTCTTCTATTTTTTATTAGCAGTTTTGTATCCTTCAAATAAAATCCCACTTCTAGTACAACTACTGCTAATGACAATTAAACTAGTACTTTCCCCTCTACTTCAACTTCTATTGGTCCTATTTCTACTTTCTCTACTGCTGCTATTGCTACTATTTCTACTTTCTCTACTACTTTGACTTATACTTCTTTCATTCTCAAACTACTTCTACTGCTTACATGACTACTAATATCAATACTCTGACTACTTATCATACTATTTCAAGTACTATAACTTAAACTTATGCCACTTCTCACCTTTCTGCCTTTTAAGGTAATTTCCTTCTTCATTCAAACTTTGTGCGATTTTAGACATTTTTCTAGCCTCTTTCAGCATGAATAAAATTTCCTTTTATAGAGCATATTCATACTATTTGTCATTCAACCAATTTAACAATTATCCAACTTCTATTTCTTTTTCACCCCTTCAGCAGGTTTCACATTTATACCTTTCTCCGTGTTTTATTAGCAGTTTAGCATTGCTTTTTCAGATTTCAGCACTCAGCATTTCCACGCATTTTCTGCAAGGAAATGCAATTTTTCTAGTTATTTATCATTATTCCAGCTTGTTTTTCAATGTTACAACCCTCTTGACGTGCTCAAAAACTCACATTATTATTATTATTAATATGTCTAATGTTATCCTCTCCTATCTCTATGTCAACCACTGTACTGTCTGAATGAATCCTGTTGATAGTTATGTACCATCCTGTATTGTATAACACAGGTGAGGACAGGTGAGTGCAGGCTTGTCTTGATGTGTGACTTCTTCACCCTTCTTTATAGCTGCAGTATGAACACTAAACACTGACTCTGTCTATATGTGTCAGCGGTAGCTGTTCACTAATATTAGCTTATTAAAGGCTGATATAGAAGAGCAGGTCAGTCCACAGACTATTTTTATCACCAACTTTTAAATTTTAATAATTTCATAATCTTAATAATCAGACCCAAATTGCTGAAGTGAGTGAATGTTATTATTTAAAGGTTCAAATATAAAAGATGGAGATGACTGTAACATGATCTTTAAACTGGTTGTGTGGGCCAGTTCACCACTGATAACCACATCCAAACAGCCCACATAATTCTGTTTGAGCCAAGAATAAGTTGAGGCTGGATCAGGAAAAGCCATAGTTCAGCTCAGGCAAGGTCAGACCATATTTTCTGATTTTAAGGCTGTTTTGTGAGAGTGATGCAGAAAACAGACTCAATCTAACTTTCCCTCCTTAACACACACTTCAGCTCAGACCGTCTCCCTTGCAGTCAGACTCAGAACACTCCTCTCTGTCCTTTGGTGGCAGCCATGTTGTCAGTGCAACTGAAATGACCTCATCACTGTGTGGTTTCTGTTGGCACCATAGGGCTTGCTGCTATGCCGCTGTCTCCTAGCAACTGGCTCCCTGCAACACAGCGACAGTGAAGCTGTAGCTCAGACAGGCAGAAATATGATTCAGAGTCAGCACAAAGACATTTAAACGACAAGAAGAGTTGACAAGAAGCGTGACAGACAACAAAACTGAAACTGAGCTGAATTTTCAACATTTCCTTCAGCTTTCTTCCTTCAGCTTCATCAAATGTGGAACATCTGATCTCTAAGTAGTTTTCTTCCCCTCTTGAAGACAGACCTGACAAAGCTGTACTTAGGACTAATCTGCATCATAACATTGTTATTTCAGCAAATTGTTAATGAGGAGAACATGACGAGAACACCAGTTTCTGTTTCAGGTTCATACTGCTAAAAGAAGCCAGAGTAAAGCCTCTGAAAGACTATTTCCAGATAAACTGAGTAGGGCTGGGGCGATTCGTCATTGTAATCGACTATAAAAATTCGTCGACGCAAAAAACAAGCATCATACGCCCTCCATCCCATATCTAATTCATTCACTTTAAGCAGTTAGCTCAGAGTTGAAGCATCAGTTTTGTGCTTTTATTTGTCCTATAACTCGCGAATTAATCAGCTGTGTGATCACTGACAATAGCCCACTAATGCTAATACTCTGCGCACACAGGCTCCGCTGCACTTATGTTTACTGATACCATACCTGCCAACACTCCGGTTTTTCCCAGGACTCTCCCATATTTCAGACCTATCTCCCGCCCACCTCTTGTATTGTCATTTCTCCCTGGAACCTCCCGTAGTTTGATGTTCCACGTTCATTCATGAATCGGATCATTATATTTGTCCAAAGTTGCCAGGTTTCCAGACAACCGAAGATTGTCCTGTGTTTCTGCTGAGCCTAACAGACACTGGATTGATAGTTTGACTTCACAATTTGGGATGATTCAGGTTGGTTTAAGCTGTAAACTATATTTAGGAAGTGTTTGTTGCACAGATGCACACACAGATGTTCAGAGAGCCTCAAACTGGAGAGCATGTAAAACATATGAGGACTTTAACACTAATATTAATGGACTAAATAAGTTCAAGGCGTATCATAGCTATTTTTTTTTTATTGCCATTTTTTATTGTTAAAACAAAACAAAAAAGTGTGCAGCTTCACTTATACTAATTTAGATGAGCAGTCTACACTGTGCGCACAATTATTAGGCAAGTGAGTATTTTGATCATATCATCATTTTTATGCATATTTTCCAACTCCAAGCTGTATAAACTTGAATGCTTATTGGATATAAGCATATCAGGTAATGTGTATTAGTGTAATGAGGGAGGCTGGGGCCTAAGGAGATCAACACCCTATATCAAGGTGTGCATAATTATTAGGTAGCTTCTTTTCCTCAGGTAAAATGGGCCAAAAAAGAGATTTAAATGACTCTGAAAAGTCAAAATTGTAAAAAGTCTTTCAGAGGGATGCAGCACTCTTGAAATTGCTAAGATATTGGGGCATGATCACAGAACCATCAAACATTTTGATGCAAATAGTCAACAGGGTCGCAAGAACGTGTCAAGAAAAAAAGACGCAAATTAACTGCCAAAGATTTGAGAAGACTCAAACGTAAGCTACCAGGAACCCAATATCCTCCAGTGCTTTCATATTCCAGAACTGCAACCTACCTGGAGTGCCCAGAAGTACAAGGTGTTCAGTGCTTAGAGACATGGCCAAAGTAAGGAAGGCTGAAATCCGACCACCACTGTACAAGACTCACAAGTTGAAATGTCAAGACTGGGCCAAGAAATATCTGAAGAGAGATTTTTCAAAGGTTTTATGGACTGATGGGATGAGAGTGACTCTTGACGGACCAGATGGATGGACCCGTGGCTGGATCAGTAATGGGCACAGAGCTCCACTTTGAATCAGACACCAGCAAGGTGGAGGCGGGGTACTGGTATGGGCTGGTATTATTAAAGATGAGCTAGCTGGACCTTTTCGGGTTAAAGATGGACTTAAAATCAACTCCCAAACCTACTGCCAGTTTTTAGAAGACACTTTCTTTCAAGAAGACCATGATTTTTATGCAGAACAATGCTCCATTGCTCCATTGCATGCAACGAAGTACTCCACGATGTGGCTCACAAAGAATAATGACGCGGCCTCCTTCTTCACCTGACCTAAACCCTATTGAGAACTTGTGAGCCCTTCTTAAACGGGAAATTTACAGTGAAGGAAAAAAAGTACACCTCTCTGAACAGTGTCTGGAACAGTGTCTGGAAGGCTTTGGTTGCTGCTACACAAAAAGTTGATTGTCAACAGATCAAGAAACTGAAAGACTCCATGAATGGAAGGCTTATGACTGTTATTGAAAAGAAGGGTGGCTATATTGGTCACTGATTTTTTTAAAATGTCAAAAACTTTTATTTGTAAATTTTGAGTTGTTTGTTTATCATTCTCACTTTAACAAGTGAAAATAAACAAGTGAGATGGGAAAAGTTTCATTTTGATTTAGTTGCATAATAATTCTGCACACTAATAGTTGCCCAGTAATTGTGCACACGTAGATATTCTCCTAAGGAAGCCAAAATCTCACTTTTACTCCCTTAAATATTTAGGTTTGAGGTTTATTAACATTTTGGATTGACCGAGAGCACTGCAGTTGTTCAAAAATAAAATTTATCCTCAAAAATACAACTTGCTTAATAATTGTGCACACAGTGTAATTACAAGTACTCTCATAGTTAGCTCATATCCACCATACAAGGTAACCCCAAAACTGCCTGGCGGGCGCCACAAAATTCTCCTGGATTTTATAACCTAAATGTTTTGTTTTGTTTGATTTCAAGAGATTCTTGAATAAATCATTGAATTAAATACTAATAGGTAAAACGTTTTTATTGCTATTTTGGTTACATTCATTGTTATATTAATCAGTTAATAAAAATCAATAGATTAATATAATAATCAATAAATTAGTCGATAGATTAGTCGACTAATCGAAAAAATAATCGTTAGATTAATTGATAGTAAAATAATCGTTAGGTGCAGCCCTAAAACTGAGACACCCATATAAAAATGAAGCTTTTCATGTTTTTCCTTTTGCTGTGAAAGTTTGGTATTTTTGTTTTACATTGTGAATGTTTATTTATTTTTCCTGCAGTTAAATTCTTTTTGTTGTCATTTTGCACCAGTATAATTAATTTGATGTTTTGTGAGGTTAAATTAACTGTGTTGTAAATAGGGTTGGTTATCGTTTCATTTTGAACGATTCTGGTTCCAATTCAGATTCCGATTCCAGTTCCTGATGATTCTCTATTCCAATTCTTTGAAAAGGCAGGATATAAAAAATGCATAGTTTAAATGAGGGTGCTAACCAGAGTTGTTCATTTTGGACGACATTTCTGAACTTCTCCATGAATTTTTAAATTATGCTAACTTTTTAAAAACTTTACTATGAATTTTTCACAGGGCTATTTTCAACCAGTATAAAAATATCAATTTTTGTTGTCAGGTCGTTTGTCTATGAAAACGTATGAGGACTAACGTTAGTTGGATATTTAAGTTGACCCAACTTACACAGTATAATTTGTTTGCCACTTAAATGTTAGCAGAAGACAGAAGTAATTTATTGTTTCACTTATCTGATTCTAGCTGGTTAGTGGAAGACCGGCAAACCACATGAATCCTGAGGTGTTTAATCATGTTGGTCGTTCACCCTCCTTTGCATGATATAACTGTGTTGCTAATGTTGCACTGAGATAAGAGTTCATTCTTCCTGCTAAAGTTAGCCAAACTTTTGACTGCAGCCACTGTGGGTTACAATGCTCTCTCTCTCTCTGTCTCTCTTCTCTCTCTCTCTCTGTGGCTTCGTCTCATACGCTTCATCCTTGTTGGTGTTCAGCGGCTTCTTCGTCGTTGGTGTTTAGCTGCATCTTCCTCATTGGTGTTCGGCAGCTATTTCTTCCAGTCGGCAGACTCTGCCATCGAAACTTGTAATCAAAATTTTTAAATTTCAATGATTCTGGGAGAATCAGAATGTTAGTCCCGGTCCCCATCGATGCTTGAGACTCGATGCCCAACCCTAGTTGTAAATCGCTTTTTTTTTAATTTAACAGAGAAAATTTACAAAAAGAAATACAAAGCTTTGGTTTAAAGCTTTGTATTTTAAAGCTTTGGTCCAGACTTTAACCTAAACCAATTTAAAAAGAACAACCTAAAATCTGATGTTAAGACGCGCACACATGCATGCAAACACACACACACACACACACACACACACACACACACACACACACATACAGGTCAGTAGACATTGTAAAGTTGAACTGAAAGTCTGGACTTATCCTTTCACTTTGTGATTGTAGATGAAGAGTCCTCCAATCATGATGACCCCGTCAGTCAGAGGGTGATATCACAGAGGGAGACTGCGGCACACAGGAAGAGGAGGGGCACCTTCATCATCATTGTTATTGTATAGTAAGGTGTACAGCTAGGCCTGTCACGATAACAAATTTTGCTGGACGATAATTGTGCTACAAATTATTGCCGATAAACGATATTATTGACACCGTTTTTTAAATTATAGATAATGATATTAAATGGATAATAATGCGAGTACACGTGTCAAAAGTGATAAACTTCAATTTCACCCACGACGAATGTGACGAGACGAAAGTGCGTTTACGTTGATGGGACGAGACGAAAATGACGAACAGAGTTGCAAAACTCAGCCAGTTAAACGCTAAACATATAGGAGCAGCTTCAGTCCGCTCTGACAGCTCTCATCATCCTGCTGTGCTCCTCCAACACACAGATACACACGCGCGCGCGCACACGTGGAGTTTTGTGGTTGACGAAAACAAAACTGGTTTGAAGCCGATATTCCCACACTTGGGCTGTTGCGTTCGGTTTAGACATCAAAGCTGTCGTGTTCATTCTGTTTGCTTGCTTTTCACTCACGACGCTCACTTGCAGCACTGTATCCAAAAGTCTGTGTCTGTGTGCCTGTGCGCGCCAGCCCCCTCGTGACAAAGACACTGAATGACTGACAGGAGGGTTCACTAACTCCGTTCATTCCGCTATAGAGCCAACGCCCCCAGGTGTCAAGAAAAAAGCGCAGAGTGAGACCTCTTCTCTCTTCCAGCGTGTTTGGTAGTGAGAGAGGAGGAAAACAAACGCACGTTAATTATCGAGGCTAGCAAAATGACCGACCTTGTTTTTATTTATCGAGCGATAAGGCGATTTATTGATTATCGCGACAGGCCTATGTACAGCTCATATCACTCTGCTCTGGAGTTAAACTTCCTCCATGGTGACACAGAGCTCATGTTTACATCAATCTAAGTGTGATGACTACTTTATAACATTGTCAAGTGACTTTATATGGAGGGCATAGAGACAGAATGAAATACATAAATACATCTTTAAAGAAGTACTTAAATATGTCATTATAAAAAATAAATCATTATGGAGATTTAATAAATAAATCTGTCATTAAATGTGTCATTAATTTATTAAAATGGGAATTAAATAAATAAATGTGTCATTAATTTATTTAATACCATTTCATTCAATGTAAAAATGAATATAATTATTTCACGAATAAATTAATTATTTCATGGACTTGTAATGCAGTGCTTCATGAATTTATTTTATCTGTCAAACTCACCCATCAAAGTCAGTAGGCGGGACTTAATCTAGTGTGATCATTTATTTTAGTCTGAAGCCTCAAGTTTTCTTGGGAGTTGGTTATTGATATTTTAGACATTGCAGAGTATGTGGATACCTTCGTCCACCAGCTCTGAGTCTGCACCAATGGTCGCAAAGGTAGATGCCACTGAGTGTGAGCGCATGCCTGTGATTTGTGCGTATGTGGGCCTATCTCTCTTCCTCTCCTATTGCAGATTATTGTGTGTGTTTGTTTGTTTGTGTGTGTGTGTCAGGCAGGCACGGATGTAAACTAACATTCATGGAACATGGAAAAAAACATTCCTGCATAACTCTGATGCATTTTGAGTTCGTATTATGCTCTGTTCATTGATACTGTCCCATTTAAATAAACAGGGCATTTGCATTTACAGTGAGGCTTTGCAGTGTTGTTTTTGATTGTACTTCACACTGGGGTAGCGTGAGATTTTATGTGCTATTGAAAGGTGCAATGACTGAAAAAAGTTTGAGAAACGCTAACCTAGAGCATGTAGTGTGCAAAGCAAAGGAATTGAGTGAACATTTTTTCCACACTTTCCGACCAAGATATTGACTGCAGAGTGGCTGCATCAATCCATTATCTGGAGTCGATCTGTCTTGACTTGATGTGCCTAATAAAAAATAAGGTGTTAGGATCTGCCCACTGACTTTGATGGGTGAGTTTGACAGATAAAATTCATGACGCACTGCAACACAGGTCCATGAAATCATAATTAAACCCTGAAATAGCTATATTTGTTTTTACATTTAATGAAATTGTATTTTAATTAATTAATGACACATTTAACTATTTTTCAAAGATGTATTTATATACTTTATATATTCTGTATCCTTTCTACCTCTATAACCTAATCCCAGTCTATATTAATTACTTACAGAGCAATTTAACATAAACTAAATTTGATATGTCATTCACCTGGGAATTCACAGGAGTTTCTCACATTCAAACATGTATCCTTTCACTTCTATACAGTAAATCTGTGTTTTATGCTATCAGTATGTCCCTTATCTGTGGATGCATACCTGCACCTAGTAATATCAGAATTTCTAACACATTTTAGCCTATCTCAGATGCTGTTTGAGGCTTTAGCTATGCTTTTTGGAGCGTACGTCTCCAAACAGGAATAGCATTATCTATCAGTAAAGTTTTATTTCTCTTAAACTGCTGACTTACGAAGCCCAAAAAAAAAAAACGTGTTGTTTGCCACCATTTTTTCACCTCTATGAAAATCCATAAACATCCACCATGTAACTTATTTAAAATTAATGAAGTTTTTCTTGAAGCTCTATTAGTATCAATAATAAAAAGAAAAGTCTATCTCACTAATCACACATTTTTTACAGCAGCTGGTTAGCATGTTAGCTTAACCGCTGCTTTACTCCCAAACATCACCTTCAGTCCACAGAGTGAAGCTTGCAGTAGTAAATAAATACGACAGGGCAGTGTAAGAGCTGGCTTTACTCTGCAGTTGTCAACTATCAGTTAGACAGTTAATACCAAACATAGCCGCGCAGTTTGTTGTCTCGTGTCACGGAAACCCAATCCGGCCTCCATCTAAATATCTGACATTTTAGCGTGTTTTCTTAATTTTAGACTCAATGTCTCAAACGATCACTCACACACTGTAATACTTTGTAAGGGTAACTTCTTATGGCTATTTCGGCTGACAGTTTAATCGACATTTCAAACTAATGTCGCCGAAATTTCCAGTCTTAATCCCAAAACCGAACCAGGCATCTGAAGTTGCCGCCCAGCGATATGCTGCCAGTGCCATCCGAAATTATTTTAAATCGATCAAAATGAAACAACTGAGCTTAAAAAAACACCTTGGCATATTCGATAACCAGAGTCTGCATGAGCCGATATGAAGGCCACGCCCTGTTACTCTACGGCACGCACTAAATCACGACATACAGAGACTGCTTTTAAGACGACGGATGAAACAGCCTTAAATCGGGTTTCTGACGGCTGCAAACGGAGACCCGATGTTAGCAACACTTGCTAACGTTCCCGCTGCAGACAGACGACGACTTTACCGCAGCAGTGCAGACAGGCAGGCAGACAGGCAGACAGACAGACAGACAGACCGCCCATTCATGCCCTCACCGTTCCGCAGACAGGCCCTTGTGTCCCTTGGCTGGCTCTCACAGACCCATCGGTACTGCCGTCACTTCATCACGACATCTGACCGTGAAACCCGGACTCTGCCGTCCTCTTCGATCGGTGGCAAGATGTCGGCGAATGGAGCAGACAGTCAGCTGACGGCAACCCGGCTCGGCCGTGTCCCATGCAGACCCACCGCATTCTTCTGTGGACTCCTCCTTCGACACTTGACTGATTGAGACTAACTTTGCGGTTTAATTGTACAGTTTGACTCAGAGCCATTCATGTGGTCACAGAGCTGCGATAAACAGGCTCCTGCTCCGCTGCTGTAGCAGCTCAGAGTGTCTCAGGAGGCGGCTGTGTGGATTGGGATGCGTCCCTCTGTCCTTCTGCTGGTCTCTGTGTCTGAGGAGCGAGGAGGCAGCAGGGATGTGTAATCCGGACCTGTTTGATGATCGGATCATTTGGCCCAGCTCAGATGTAAGAAACTAGCTGTTCTAGTTCTGTACTCATATCCATTTTTTACTTTCAAAATGACATTAAATAGACTTTTTAAACTTCTGATTGGTTTTGTGCATAAAGGTAATTTTAATCATAGGCCATATCAACAGTTCAAAGATTTTACAGAGGACAAAGGTTTACCTTGTATTCAGTGTAATGACTGATACAGAATTATCACGTGTGCTGAGCAATAACTATGTTGTTTCTTGTTTCTTTCTTTGTTTTTACAAGTTTAAAGTTTTTCTTTAACTTATTAAAATTTATGAACACAACTGATAATCAGTAAGTGAGGTGCATCACAATTGAGTATTCTAGTTGATTTATGAATGACAGGAGTTTGAGTTCAACATTTTTATTATCGCCCTTATACCAAGGCTTGCAGTGATTTATCACAATAATAAAAGAAATCTGAGCTGAGACAGTAGTTGGCTGTAAGAGCCAACTCGTTTGAAGATAACCCATCATCGGTAAACTTATCCACAGAGCTGAGAGATCTGCAGATGCTGAGGTACTGTGAGTTTCAGGTCAGGGAGGCAAAGGACTGCCATCTGCATATAGACAGAAAACTTCGTCAGCATCATCTAGTCAGCGGGCGTATCACCTCATCCTAAGGACGTGTCTTACTCACAGGAGTATAAGACTCGTCACTGTCAAACTTAGGGGTGGAGTAGTGTAAGTATGTGCACCAAGTGGAGTCGAAAGCACAGACTGACTGATGACCGGTATATTAAGTGAATCATTACTGCATGAAAACAGACACATCCAAAGAGTTCACAGTGAATGTTTTTATTGAGAGTAAACTTCAGAGTGAAGACAGTAGAGGTTCATATGTTCAAAGATAAAATCACACTTTTAACAGTCACCGTCAGACCCCATTATGATAGCAGATATACAGATATGAATATGATAATGATAATATATGTGCCTAGGTGAGGAGGTCAGGTGTGTCTGTGTGATTCAGCATCAATGTGGAGAGAAGAACAGCAGGCAAGGGAACAGTGATGTCACAGGAAATCAGTTCCAGTAAGACCTGGATTGGTCCACATGACATGCCAAAACAATCAAAGCCAGAACCCACACTGTCTGTCCTCTTTCCTGTCAGAGCCAGGAAATAACCAAGTGGAAACCAAGAAATTTAGCTGTATTCATAATGTAGGAAGAACACCAGGAAAGGAATCTGGAAGCTGTCTTACTGAAATAAATAAATAATAACGATTAGAGGATAAATTGAATTCAAGTGCATAAATTGACCTGAAGAGAACTAAATGACACAAATGGCCACACATTTTTCGAAGTTCAACACAAAATATACCTTATTTATCAGGAATATTCATCCAGTAAAGTGCTCTATAATTACATTTGTTAGATTTTTAGCGATAGGTCCTATTTATTGTGCATATAAACACTTTTTTCACGGTTTATCTTTTACACGTTTATAAACACTGTTGTCAATTGGCAATATCTAAGGTATGAAATAGTTGTATTTCACTCTCACTATTGCTGAGCTCAGAGCGTAACATAGACTTAGCAAGAAAGACAGACAGACAAGACCAATAAGTTCAAGCTAAAATGTCATCAATAACATTCCCGTAAATTCTGGAAAGATTGCACCGGTAAACAATAAGCACTCTGTATTTTAAGGTCTCTCAGATGTTTAAAAAAGTTTAAACTGTCTTCTTGCGTGGCAATATCTATTGTGATCAGAGATGTCTACAACGTGCTATTTCTGTGCAGCTGTGCCGCCCTTTTTGTTTTGTTTGTTTTCACTATCGGGAGTTTGCACTGCGACTAGCAATAGTTTGGTCGGTGGCAATTGAGCTCTTAGCCTGCAGGGAAAGTTTTGAGGCACAGATCCCCCAAGCTCTTTGCCAGACCAGTGTTGCTAGATTAGGCAGTTTTCTTGTCCCATTAGGATAATTTTCCAGGACATTTCACTTTTTCTTCCATTTTCCAGGTGTTTTTCCAGTACTGGAACTCATGAGAATCAGGGGAAGTACAAGGAACCGCCAGCTGGTTCCTCTTCCTTGCCCTAATAGAGGCTACACAGTGAACTATCTGAGAGACCCAAGTCTTGGAATTAACTATACAACCATTTATATTCGCCCTCTGCAGCTCAGCTTGAGCATGGAGCAGGTAATACTTGATTTTCCATTTTATGCTGTTTATATTCATTTTGGGCTTTAAAATGCTAAACAAAGTTGGCAAGATGGATGAGCAGTTTTTACAATCCTAAAACCGGCCTTAGAAATTCACAGGCTGTTGGCAAAAAAAAAAAACTGTTACATGCTTTATAAAAACAGTTTAGAAATAATTTTTCAATGGAATTTTCAATGTTCCAAAGTGTGTTTTATTTCTTTGTGCATAGGAAGCTAGTGATGTGAGGACTGACCTTGGACCACAGACTACATGCATTTTATGTGGAGAGGAGTTTCAATTTTAAGAAATTAGGCAACACAATGTTGCTTGTGTTGCTTGTGCAAAGTATTGACCAAAACTTTTACATGGTCATAATGATGATTCTTTGTCAGCTGTCAAATTTTAACCCTGAGGGTGTATTGATATTTATTATGTGCACATGACTAAGTGTGTGCAATAACTTTGGGCTCCAAATTTCACTCTAGCCTCAAAAATATTTTTAACTTTTTCAATGCAAGAAACAGCATGTATACCAATACTGTTAATAGAAGGCACCTGGATCCAGCGGAACAGATGCGCTGACCTCACAGGAGGTTATGCTCTTGGTTCAGCTTAGGGTTTGTATTCAGTGTTCTTTCCAGATAATGTTTTGGATGACTGACAAGTTCACCTATTGGAACACTTCTAATAACCAACATATGATTTAATATCCTGTTGTGTTGATCAAAAATTTGAATTTGAAGACATAATGCAACACTCCCCTTTTCAGGTAACTTTCAGTGTGCTCTAGTATGCATCCAGTACTACATTCTAATATTTTTTGTATATTCTCATCAGCAGCACGCTCGTCACATCAGCTGGAGGTCCCGTCAGGAGATCCACTGCCACTTCAGAAAATAAATAAAATGAAATATCTACATCTACATAAAAATAGTTTGGAGGTAAAAAGTATTCAAGATGATTTAGAAGATAAAAAAGGAAGGCATATGTCAGTCATACCAGTACTTTTGCATGAACAGAGTGCATAAGATAAGATAAAATGCAGAAATAAAGTGCAATGTTGGGTTTGCTTACCAATATAGGACCCCTAGATGAAGCTTGATCTATAATAATAATAATAATAACAATAACAATGTACACCATATGCTATCAGAAACAGTTATCTTCTCCTGCAGGAATCATTAAGGGCTCTGATAGAGCCTGGGGTGAAGGAATTTTTATACCATTTTTTTGTGGTTGAAGGAACCCGCAGCCGATGGCCAGAAGGTAACAGATTGTATTCTGAGCTGAGAGGATGGTCACTATGAGATTGAATGGACACAGATTTTTTGAGAACCTGCTTGTTAGATTAATGTACAGGAAGATGGAACACCTGCTAGGCATTGCTGCCTGTCGCACCTCCTCCGGTGCCCACGGGTCAGCTACAGAGGCGGCAGCCAGGAACCACCATTTACCAACGTTTTGCCTCTTTAATCCTCGAATGTCTCCTGGTGGCGGAGCAGTGGCAGGGATGTCTCCCTGCCACCCCCTGTAGCTGAGAGGTGTTATCGTCTGCCGCTATTCTCTGGGTTAGTTGTTCTTTCCTCAGCACTTATCAGCCAGAGCCAAAAGCTCCCCTTCTAAGCCTCTTCCGCCAGCTCCTTTGTTGCCTTCTTCAGGTTCCCTCCGGTTACTCCTACGTCCCTCAGGAGGCGTGTCGTTGACAGTCCTTCATAGCCTCGGCATCCGACCTCTACTGGGTAGATGGTAGCCTTCCAACCAGCCTCCTGGCACTCAGCAGCCAGCTCTGAGTACTTGGCCTTCTTTCGTTCGTAGGCAGCCTCAATCCCCTCCTCAGCTGGTATTTTGAGCTCAATGAGGAGCACTGATTTTGCCTTGGTCAACCCCACCACTATGTCTGGGCGGAAAGATGTTGTAGTAATCTCAACCGGGACGTGGAGCTGCCTGTCGAGGTCAACTCTCATGTCCCACTCCTGGTCGGGGGAAAACGGCTTAGGAATTTTCCCTGGCCTGACGTCTTTCCCCCAGCTTTCTGTGACGAAATTGATGTGGTTGTGGTTCTCTGCTGGTGGTGACTCTTTGCTGCGCTGTCTACACCCCTCCAGTACCTCAGCTAGCTTTCTCAGGACCCGATTGTGGCGCCATCTGTAGCATCCCTGAGAGAGCGCAATCTCACAGCCTGACAATATGTGCTGGAGGGTTGCGTTTGGGGTGTTGCAGAGTGAGCAGCACCCCTCACTTCCGAACCACTTGTCTTGATGTGCATGCTGCTGTCTGGAGGAGGCTGGTGACATCGTCCATGGACATCCTCAGAGGAGGTAACCTCTGCCAAGATGGTAGTTTGATCCCTCCAACCATCTGTATTGCTCCAACAAAGATTGCCTCAAAGGCTGCCATGAACAGGATGGGAGAGATGGCACAACCCAATGCGATTCCTACTTCAAGATGTTGCCACCCCGTGGTGAAATCTTGGAGGGCAAAGCACATCTGCAGGTCGTTAAAGTAGGATGCGACCATGTTCTTGATGCAGGGGGGCATGTGGAAGAATTCCATGGCATGGTTAATCAGCTGGTGTGGGACTGATCCATACGCATTAGCAAGGTTGAGCCAGACTACATGCAGGTCTGTCTTCTCCCGCTATGCCTTCTGGATCTAGTCCCAGATCACCGAAGAGTGCTCTATGCACCCTGGGAAGCCTTGGACACCCGCCCTCTAACAACTGGTGTCCATGTAGCCATTCTCCAGTAGGTAGGTGGTCATCCTTCTGGCCAGCACTGAGAAGAAGATTTTTCCTTCTACATTCAGCAGGGCGATGTTTCTGAACTGGCTGATGTCCTTTGAGTTCACTTCCTTGGGGATGAAGACCACTACAGCTCTTTGCCACTCTGATGGAATGAGTTGTTTTTTCCACACAGTTCTCATGAGGTACCATAGTAACTCTAGAACATTGGGATAGTTCTTATAGAGCTTGTAGGGGATTCCATTGGAGCCTGGTGCTTATGCAGACCTCGCCTTCTCCACAACCTGCCTGACTTCACTGAGCTTGGGGGTTATGGTGTTGAACACAGCAGTCGGAGGCGCAGGCTTCAGCACATACACTGGTGTTCCTAATGGGATGTTCCCCACCGGGTCACTGTATTGCTCTCTTACGGGCTGCTCCAGTTGCTCCCTGGTGGTTTCGAGCACCACACTCTTCTTCTTCCCCAGCAGCTGTCTGGCATGCTTAAAGAGATCTTGAAGAAGCTGGCCCGCTCTTTCCGTTTCCGTCGACTGCGCTTACGTTCAGCTCCGCGAAAGCCTGGACAGTATTTGCCTGATTTCATTCCACAAAGCTTTAACCCCTCTTTCTCTGCTGATGTTGCCTTCCTCCAGTTTTTCTGTAGCTGACGGCGTTTTCGCACTAGAAGGTCAATCTCCTTTTGCCTCCTTCCCTTCTCTCTTTGGGTGGTTCTCTGCTTGGAGATCACTTTGCCAAACCTGTCCTTGCAGGCCTGGTAAAGGATGTCCCCAATCTGGTTGAGCTTAGATTCAGACCCTCCTCGCAAAGATCCCTCTAATGTCTAGACCGGGGCAGTGTCTAGTGTTCTCCATAACTCTGTTTCACTTGCCTTTGGCCATTTGAGCTTGCCTCTTCTCGCTGGCATCTTGGTTTCTGTGTTTGGCTCTGCTCTGTGTTGGTTGGTGGTGACTGGGTCTTGGTATTCACGTGGGGGCTCACCCTCAACCAGTGTGTTTCCTTTCTCTGCGACATAAAAAATATGATTCAGGCTAGTGAACTGCACGCCTGCAATCCTACTTACCACCTTAACGATCCTGTCCAGGGCATTTTTCTCTCTGGTCCCCAGGTTGCCGTACCTACAAATAATACAAAAGGATATGACTGATTCAATAAAAGCAGAATAAAACAATGACATCGGGGACTTATCAGTTTGAAATTTGGCAAGCTTTCTTAAACAAAAAAGTCATTGCTGGCCTTTCTTGCACAACACTTGCACTTACATTTGAATTTCAGGCTATTGTTGATCACAGTGCCTAGATATTGATAGGTAGATACGATTTCCACAGCCTCAACCTTGACAACACTGTTCTGGGGAGCTGGGGGGGGGGGGGGTGGTGGTCGTCTAAAATCTATACGCATGTATTTTGTTTTACTAATGTTCAGTTGTAGGAATGCGTTTTCACACCACAGAATAAAATCATCAACAACAGGAACATGGCTATTTTCACCGTCATCAAGGAGGCTGACAATAACTGAATCATCATTAAACTTTATGTCTATTTGTATGAGAGCTACGACAATCATTTGTGTATAGGATGTATAATAATGGAGATAACACACATCCTTGTGGAGAGCCAGTAGACAATATGCAGACATTTGACGATTTCCGTTCACCCTTACTCTCTGGGTCCTATTGGTGAGGAAATCAAGAAGCCAGCCAACAATAGCTGCCATCCGCGGTTTGATTTCATTCACGCTGACTGCGATCAGTAAGAGTGGTGACAGCGGACGCTTTTCCACATTAAAGAAGGAAATGTTTGTAATATATCTTCGTTAACACCAAGTGTTTCGTTTCTACTTATTTGAAGCTTGGATCATAGTTGTGGAGACGTCCACACAAACATTGAATACAACCAAATAGCGAGGTGTATAGGCTGTCACGAGATAACACAGGTAACACGGAGAGTACACCTAAACTTGCGCTGTATTTAAACGCATCCCACAAACATTTTCACACCGCATGTGGTACTGTGAGTACTACCCACGCACCTAATAATCACAAAGATAACGCAAAATAAGTTCCTCTCACAACGAAAAGGTTTGTTAAATTTCTCACTCAGTGACGGCTATATTTTGGACAGGCATTTGCTCGGTCACCAATTTTCGTCTTCTTATGTTTCATGCAGAGCAATGGATTAAAACAGAGTGGCGACACTCCCATAGACATACGCTGTACAGCCCGGCGGACCCCACTTCCGGGTTATGGAACTCGTTATAGTTCCAACATGACCGCCTGTCACGTCGGACGCCGTTCGCTTCTATGGCCACAAGGCAAGCACTCACCGAGGTTAAATGATAAAATATCAACAAGTTTAATGCCAATACATGTGTTATTGATATCGAGGGGACCCCTATATATGTAAAAATGTATATCCCAAATGTAATTACGTTGTTTTAGTCAGGAACTGGGATTGATTTTTTAGCCACGGTTTGCTCCCACACTCCCCGAGGTAAAATATTGTATCAATGAATGTAATGCCAATACGTGTGTAAATGGTATCGGGGGACCCCTTTATATGTAAAATGATTTTAATTTTAGTATGCTCAAATTGTAATTACAAATGTAATTCCCTTTTTTTAGTGAGGAATTGGGATCGATTTTTTAGCCACGGCCTGCTAGCTGGACGTCGTCAGCTGTAGAGGCCTGCCAAAATGTATTGTGTGACTGAGTTATGAATCACAGATGAATCATCATCATCAATCATATGTTGAGATGGTTACTTATGGGCTTTATTTTAGATTTCAGCCTTTATCAGTTCCTGATGTTATGTGCAATTTATTCTTTTTAGACTAACATAAGTGCTATGTAATTTGATTTCTGCTTATGGGATGATAGCGTAAAGGGGCCGCTACTTTTTAAATCCTGTCAGCATTTAAGGCGTATGTTTAACATGAAAAAATGTTATGCAGGCCATGCTGCAAGACCAAAACATTGTACAATTGTTTAAACAGCTTGTTACACCTCTGACTTACCACTTTATTGTATTATTTTCTCTTATTAAAAAGTAACACGCGTTACCAAACTTGTCTTATTTCACTTTTATTTGTCATCCAGCCGCTAAATATACGTACGTGACTTTGACGTGTATACAGTAATCCAATAAGAGTTGCAAATGTTGACTTTTTACGGTTAATTTTAATATTTACCTCTTAAATGCGCGCTCACTGCAGTCTGCCCCGTTGAAGAGCATGGACAGTGCAGGCTGCTTTGGAACTATGGAGGGGTACATGAACCACGTGACCGCTCCGGCGGCGAGATCTGAAGTTGTCGCCACTCTGTTTAATCCATTGCTCTGGTTTCATGCTTTCAGCTCTATTTTTGACCCAATAAACTCATTCCCCCTAACATGCATGTCTCAAAGGCCCTTTAAATTGATACAATCGGGTTGACACACCGGCAAAAACACAGACAATACAACTTCTCGGTCACGACGAGCGTACAAATTAAATAATAAAAACAAAATCAGCCCGTGGCCCGTAATTCAACTTCTGTTTATTTGATCTATGTTAACTGACGGAATATTGGAAAACAAACGTATTTTCATTTATTTGTTTTCATTTAAAAATAGGAAAAAGGGAAAACAAACCTTTTTTCAATGTTTTGTTTTTTGATTCTTGATTAAATATCAATTGAACGAATGATATACCGATTCACTGCCCCCTATCGGCCAGAAGGGGCCAGAACGAGTGGGGTCTGTGACGTCACTTTCCTGCGCCACTTGAGATTGCGAACTCAGATTGAATTATGAGACACTTTTTGCGGGGCCAGCACAAAAAAACGAAAAAGCATTTCTGAGTTTGGTTTTTCTTTTTAATTTAGTCACAGAATGAGCAGTCTTGAAGAAGAAAATGAAAATGCATTTTGGAATATTGCTTTTTATTTTTATTTTTGAGTCAAATAGTGCAGCCATGACTTTGAAATGAAAAAGCATTTCTGCTATTGCTTTTGAATTTTCGAATTTGATATTTCAAATTGAAATTTGTTACCTTTTAGCTGGTGAATGTTTTGAAAATTAAATGTTAAATGTGATTGCTTTAGCTTTTTAATTTGGTCACAAAATGAGCAGTCTTGAAGAAGAAAATGAAAATGCATTTTGGAATATTGCTTTTTATTTTTATTTTTGAGTCAAATAGTGCAGCCATGACTTTGAAATGAAAAAGCATTTTGAATTTTCGAATTTGACACTGCAAATTGAATTTTGTTACCTTTTTCGCTGGAGAATGTTTTGAAAGTCAAATTTGATTTGCTTTTTCTTTTTAATTTAGTCACAAAATGGGCAGTTATGAAGAAGAAAATGAAATCGCATTTTGGAATATTGCTTTTTATTTTTGAGTCACATAGTGCAGCCATGACTTTGAAATGAAAAAGCATTTCTGTTAGTGCTTTTGAATTTGAGATATGAGTCACAATCGCTTCCATAAAACTTATGTTGGAACAGCACTTTCTTATTTATTTAGTAATTTATTTACACCAACCAAACTGGGTTGTATGTTACATCCTTTCCCTTTCCGAGCTGGGTTGTAACACACAAGATGTAAATTACTCCTGAGAATGTGGAATGTCATCATTATCCTGCTGTCTTTTTATACATGTTCTTTCTATATTGCTAATTTCTGAGTATATTTGGATAACCTCTTTAGAAACTGAGACGTTTTATAGCCCCTTGAACCATAGCTTATTTCATCTCACTCTGAAATTTTGTGAGGTGATGCTGCTATTGGTGAGGGGGTCACCAGGTATGTGCTGTCCACAGTCGTGGACCACCTACAGACAGGATTCATGCTGGATGAAGCAAAGGGTAAGGGAATGATACAGATTTTCTTTCAAGTTATCCTTTGTGTCAAAGTAAAATCTTTAAATACAGTTTAAATAGGGTTGTACCACTGTGACCCTGCCCATGACCCTGCCTTTATCATTAACATGCATGTCTCCACTTATGCAACAGATTTTTTTATTCACTTTTTATTGTATTTTGTCAGAAGATTAAATGTTTTATGTATATATAACAATAAAATAACATTCATGTAATATGATTGTCAAGAAGCTTCAACTCGTGCTTCTTGCCGAGTTCATGCTGCAAGGAGACAAAATCTGAGGCCAAGTTGGAAACTGCCACCTCGAGTGAAGGAGAACAAGAATAAATAACTGTATCGTCAGCAAACATATGATTCATGCTGTACACAGACATGTTACAGATGTTATTTACAAACAGCAGAAAAAGTAGAGGACCTAAGATGGAGCCTTGGGGGACTCCTTTCTCAAGAATGACTGAGTCAGATAAGATATCACCAAACTTGACACACTGTGTGCGACCAACCAAGTAATTTCTAAACCAGCTATACACATTCGGACAGAACCCAGTGTCGGGGAGAACCTGCAGATATACACTCACCGGCCACTTTATTAGGTACACCTGTCCAACTGCTCGTTAACACTTAATTTCTAATCAGCCAATCACATGGCGGCAACTTAGTGCATTTAGGCATGTAGACATGGTCAAGACAATCTCCTGCAGTTCAAACCGAGCATCAGTATGGGGAAGAAAGGTGATTTGAGTGACTCTGAACGTGGCATGGTTGTTGGTGCCAGAAGGGCTGGTCTGAGTATTTCAGAAACTGCTGATCTACTGGGATTTTCACGCACAACCATCTCTAGGGTTTACAGAGAATGGTCCGAAAAAGAAAAAATATCCAGTGAGCGGCAGTTCTGTGGGCAGAAATGCCTTGTTGATGCCAGAGGTCAGAGGAGAATGGCCAGACTG